GCGCTGCGGCGGGAGGAGGCGCGGCAGCGGGAGGCGGACGCACACAGGGTGGGCAAGGAGGCGGAGGAGGCGCGGCGGTACGAGGCGGAGTACCGGGAGCAGCGGCAGCGGGTGGAGGAGTACAAGCGCAAGGAGGAGGAGAAGAAGAAGGAACAGGTGCGGGGGGCGAAAGGAGGGCCAAGCCGCTGGGCACGGTCCGGGCTTTGAAGATGACTGTGAAGCTTGATGTGTGGCTTGTGCAGGCTTGCTTTGAAGATCTTCAGTGGTCGACATTCCCCCGTTGATCCAGAGGTTCGTGTATAACCTGGTCAATTGCCATGCCATGGACATTCGAAGGAACTGGCTCCTGAGCTCTTGGCTTTACGGCAGTCAGCAGTTATTAGGTAGCATCTTTGTATTGCACCTGTAGATATCTCCTGACAGGCTTTCGAGATTGGGCAGATCTGGTAACAGTGATGCAGATATAACACACCCCCACCCAATTGGGGACACAGATGCTATGAGATTATACTGATCATCGACTTTACTGGCAAGCGAATTGGAGATGAGATTGAAGGCCTTCGTCAAAATCGAAAACGGCGCTTTTCATTAGGATCCTCATAGGACTTGGTCCAGGACTGAAAGCAGTGGCAGGGTCTCCCTATCATCACGGGCAGTTGGGAGCAGCTGTCTGGTTTGAATACGATTTGGCGGTGCTTCCAGAAGAGCTTGGCTGAAGCTGGCTTCTTTTCAAAGGTGGCCGTCATCTTGGCCATCTCAGTGGAGGGCAAAGTGCCGAATTATCTTGCCACAAAAGATCGCATCTCGCCAGACAGGCCCTCACATCACCGGTTGCTAGGCTGGCCGCTCCGAGCCCTTTCGCGTGTGCATGCTTGTGCTGGCCGCGGCCCTCACGCATGCGTGCTTGCTGCCTGCAGGAGCGCCAGCGGGCGGCCAAAGCCGCGGCGGCCACGCGCAAGGCGGAGGAGGCGCGGCAGGAGGAGCAGCGACGCGCTGAAGCGGCAGAGCACGGGGACGACGACTCCGACGAGGGCGCCCCCAGGAATATGTGGCACCAGGTCGGCATCCCCTCTCGCACGGCCCTCTCGCGGCAGCTGTGGAGCCGCTCACCCGCGAAGTCTCACTGCAATTCCTTCTTCTCTTCCAGTCCCGTGTCGCTTGGGCCTGCTAGTGGTGCGAGGTGCTGTGCGTCCTGTGCTGAATGCCTGGCCGCCCGGGCCGGCCCTGCTGATGCGCTTCTCACTGCTGCTCGCCCCCCGCAGGTTGCCGGCACTGTGGCGTTTGCGGTCGCCCTCTTCTTCCTGTGGCCAAAAGACTCGCGAAAACGGGTCGCCTCCCGCAGGTATGTGGCCCCCCACCCAAGGCTCGCCCTGCCGCCGCTGCCGCTGGGCCCCTGCCGCTCGGTGTGAGCGTCTCAGGCCCCTGCTGCCCGCCACGTCAGTCCCGCGTGCTGACCCTCCTGTCGGCGGTGCTGTGCTCCTGCAGGCGCGTCAAGGTCAGCGGCGGCCGGTACATCGTCCAGAAGGGCGACTCGCTGGAGACCATAGTCGGCCGCATGTGCTACAACCCAGAATCCGACTTTTACAAGATGAACCCAGGGGTAGGTCATGCCAGCTACTCCTACCTGGGACCGTGCATCGGCAGTCTCGAATACCTTGCTTGAAGTATGCAGGTGAATCCTTTGAGGTGCTCTTTCGGTCCAAATCTGTCCTTAGACCGTACGAATTGATTGGCTAAGCTTCGCAAGAAGTATACTGGGAGTGGGCTGCCAAATCTGAGAGCTGGCGTCTTCTGTGGCCCTCGATAGTGACGTGTCGGAAACCCGTTTCCACCTGCAGGTCTGTGATCGAAACACAATCTACCCAGGCCAAGTGCTTCGAGTACCAGAGTATCAGTAGGGTGGTGCGGAACCGTCGGTTTGCGTGCTTCTGTAAGGCTTGGCGTCGTTGTGTGTGCCTTGGTAGGCGGCTCTTGTGCGTCACGTGATGCAGGCGCCCCTACCATCGGTAAGTGACCCGGACAAGCGAGGCGATGAAGGCTCCAGGAGATGTCATGTGATTGCAGGCAGTGTGTACGAAGAGTTGCAGTCATCCGGAGCCTGGATTCTATTCCGTCTTCGCTCTTTATCACAGATATTGAATCTTGGGGACTGCTGTTCCATGTAAGTTGACAGTTTACAATTTGCTAGAAAAGGTGACCATGCGGAGTTGCCCCCCTTCGGAGCTCTAGACGATTCTCTCCCTATGTTTCCTTGGGGACTCAACTGGCCATCTGAATGTTGCGATCTGCATGGAAGACCATGCATGATCTGTTTCATGCACGAAGGACCTACTAACTTAACAAATACGCACACGTATCATGCAGACGTGAACCAGATTTGGCATGTATGATGCACGTTCACACACCATGGATGCTATAAGATTGATGCAACCCAATCTGGTCGCTGATGCTCCTACGTCTGGATTTGACACTTGTCGTATCACGGTTCATGGTAGGTAGGTTATAGTATGATTGCATCATGATCCAGATGTTCGCGGCAAATATATGTCCCCTTATCGACCGTAATATTCTGGCTATGTAACCTAGCTTTAATTCAATTCGCAGTATAGAGTGCTTCCTCATGTACGCACTAGCTGAATGCGAATTTCTAAGACGTCCCGAGATGGAATTTCAAACCGTGAATTAGCACGTGTTGCTAACGTCAGTGCTCTTCGATTTACTACCACATGTTTATGTTTTTGAAGCGCCTGTCAGGCGCTAGATCGCATGAGACCATTGCCGCCAGCATAGAAAGCGAACCTTCCATGACTGACGAGATATAAGGGAGCCTGCATGTTTCGTCATATGCATGTACGCAATGTGCCATGGATTGAAGCCTATGGCCGCACAGCCGGCTACGGCTTTCCTGACAATGACCAGCTTATGTTTTGACTGTCTCATAGACTGTCGCGCATGCATGTCGAATTATATAGGAATAGGCAGTGTATTGCCGGAAACGATTTAAGCAGCATGCAATGTCATGAAAAGGTAACTTCAAGTTGATGCACGACAGTAGCTATGCAGGCGCAACTCTCACTGGACAAGAATGATGAATGACCAGGCGACCGTCTACAGTATACTACCATCTATTGCAAAACTTGTTTGCTGCATTTCTGATCTAAGCAGGAGAAAGTCAACGGGGCCAATTGGAGCTAATTTTTTCCCAATTGACGAATTGCTACCGACCTTACTGCATGTGCCTAGCTTGTCTTACAAGAGAGGATCGTCCGCTTAAAATGCGTCACGATCTGTACATTGCACGGTTCGTAACGCGGGTTGCGGTTGATCGTGGTATCCTTTTGAGTACTAGTCTCTAGGCTTCTGAGCTGGACGGCAGCCACTGACTGACCAGGCGGCCGAGTACCGCGTCAAGGTGCAAAGCTGCGAACCAGATGTAGCGCTTGCACAATTCTTACTTTTCACGGGGACCCTATGGATAAATCCTTTGTCTTAAAACTATACCTAGCCGTACCCAGTTAAGGGTTCACCTGAATGTTGAGGTCGAGGGAAGTGCGACCTCGTGTATCTTTTCAAGGGCATCACCTGATGCTCCTTGTTCTGCCTCAACATAGACTGGTCCTCTGCAAAAGGCTGCAACTCCTACCGGAACCCTGTTCCAACATGACTCTCTAAACACCTCTGTCAACTTCCCCCTCAATTGCATAATAGCAACACTTCCGTCGATCTTGCGTGCGTCATAATAGCAAGACTTCCGTCGATCTTGCCTGCGTCATAATAGCAACACTTTCGTCGATCTTGCGTGCGCCACGGTCAACAACCGCGTCATGTGCACGCTGCACCGACTTGCGCTCCCTGTGGCGCCAGCGATCCCGCCTGCTGCGCGCGCATCCAGTCCCAGCCCGCCGGGCCGACCTCCCCCCCCAGCTCGCGGATGACGGCGCCCCCCGCGGCGCAGCCCAGGCGGCAGCACTCCTCCAGCGGCCGCCCGCGCAGCAGGCCCGACAGGAAGCCGCTCGCAAACAGGTCGCCCGCGCCCGTCGTGTCCAGTGGCCGCGCGTTGGGCAGGGCCGGGATGCGCACCGCCTGTGCACACGACCCGCCAACCGGGTGTCAATCAAGAGGCGAGAGCATGGGAGACTCGTAGAGCAGGCAGAGGGGGAAGTGCGGGGTCCACGAGGTACAACGCGCGTCGGCAGTCCGTCCCCATGAGGAGAATGCGGAAGCCCTGGAGCTCAAGCCCCTCTTCAACATGATAGCCGCTCGGCAACGGCCGAACCCCAACAACCTTTAACAACCGCCAGCAGCCGGCGACGGGCGAACTCTTCAGTTGATTGTCTTTGGAGCAGTCTTGTCAGCGAGTGTGCTGCAGGCTCCACCCATCGGTAGTCTCATTGAAAGTCTCGACGGTGAGACAGAGCGCCATCGCAAGGGCCCTCTCGGCGTGCCAGTGCGGGGGCCTGACCTGGCGGCCGGCGGTGCGGGCGATGCAGCCGCGCGGGCCGAGCATGACGACCACGGTGGGGCACCACTGCGCCAGCACGTCCAGCGCAGCCTCCGCAGCGCATACGGGCCCCTGACCGGCATCCAAGTCCCTGCATATGAGCACGCACCGATCAGGGGAGAGGCGTCAGAGGCACAACAGACAGGATTGCCACAGCGGCACGTCATCGCAGCCCCATGCAACTGGTTTTAAAAATCGACAACACATATGACGGCAACAACTGGCTGCACCACCCCGCAGCGAGGGCACCTTTGCCTGGCTGGCCCAGGCGTGGCTGACCTGACGAGTTCGCGCGCCTCGTCCTCGTTGGCGAAGCAGAGGTCCACCTGGCGCGACTGCAGCAGCGCCAGAAGCTGCGGCTTGAATGCGCGCACCACCTGCGACAAGGGGCACTGCGTCAGCACACGACCAGGGGTTGGGGAAAGAGCAGGGCAACGCATACGCGAGCGGTGGCACAGGAAGCCGCTCCTCCGCAGTCCGACCTCGCGGCCACATCCGCTGCTCCGCCTCACCTCGAAGCTGGCAAAGTCGAGGCAGACGCGGGCCCCCGCCGCCTTGGCCAGGGCCACCGCGCGCTCCAGCAGGCCCGCGCCATATAGGGCGTACCCATTCGCCGCCAGCCACTGCACACACAAACTCGCTTACTGACACACAGGGGACAAACGGATTGCTAAGTACGGATGAGAGATTTGGGCTCTGACAGCGCAAAGAGGCCCAACACCGCAGCCTCCCCCAACAAACGCCTCTTCAGCAAACGTCGAGTGGAACCAAGAGGCCGCCTCCAACCCCCGTTTTGTCTTCTGGCTGGCTGTCCAGTGAGCGTACCTGCGCCCCTTCTAGGTCGTGCACCGTGAGCTCGTCCGCCTGCAACCGTACGGCGTCCTGCATGCATGTGCGCATCGTGCGGCCCCCCTCGTCGTCAACCAGGCACACACACTGCGCAGCAAGGCAGGCACCCGTGAGGCAGGACCCACCGCAGCTGTCTTCACAAGAGTGGCAGCGAATCCGCAGAGACAGCGCCCTCACGACGAAGGGGAAGCAGGAGGAAGCTGGCCACTGATGCCAGGGGGGAGTGCGCGGCCGGGACAAGGAGCCGGTCTCCTGCCGGCCCTAGCTGCGGTGATGCGCCAGCTGATAGTCCAACTGCGCTGCGCTCACCTGCCCCGTCAGCCCGGCCTTTCTACGGAGGCGGTGCAGCTCCACACCGGCCCCTGCCATGCTCGTGGCAAACCTGGCACACACAACAAGGATGCTCAGGGTGGATGCTTAGGCAACAAGCCCCGCTAGCAGAAGAGTTTTTGGTGCCCACCAAGAGCACCCGATGAGTGTGGTTCTTATCTCTTCACACCCAGAACAGACACACACTCTAACAGACACGAGCCAGGGCCTTGATCAGATCTGGGCCGCGGAATAGGCTGTGCTCATCGGGCAAGGTGAGGCCCCGTTGCTCATGACCCCGGGCGGAGGCAGAGCGGAGAACAGCAGAGGGCAGCGTGGCGTACATGTGGCCCAGGTCATCGTCACCCGCAGCCCCCAGCATGACCGCACGCACGCCAAAGCCGCTGGCCAGCCCGCGCAATGTGTTGGCCACACTTCCCCCCGCCAGCGTGCGAATGCTGTGCCCCTCTGCAGCGGAGGCAGGGCAGGCGCGCACCCCGACCAGCAGCTGAGCCAGCGCCTCGGGAGACACCTGCAGGAGCGGCCCATGCAGCATTGGCAATGGTGCGCACGACAGCGGGGGGCACCTCGCAAGCTGCGCTGATGTCAGCCTCCCACTAGAGGCGGTGCGCATCATGAAAGCCACGTCGCACATTGACACACCGAACCCAAGCAGCTGGAGGCAAGCTGCAACAGTACCACCAGCTCAGCTCGAGTGCAACCACTGTTGCCAGCTGGAGTGTGCCAACGAGCAAGAGGGGCTGGAGCGCACCCGGACGGAGCCGCCCCGCTCCCCCGGGATGCTCTCCACAAATGCGGTGGAGACGCGCGCTGCGTGGTCCACCAGCGCCACCGGCTGCAAGCCCACCACGAGAGGCTGCTGTGCGCGGTCCTCCGGAGCGGCCACCGGCGCCATCAAATGTTGCGAGACAGCATCGCACGAAGCATCCGCCGCCGGGTTGGCAGCACCCACTGGCATCGTCATGCCGAGCTTCTTGCAGGCACGGGAAAGGCGGCCCTAGGTAGAGCCTAGGTCAGCCCTTCCCAAGGCCCGCCACCACCGCTTCGCTTGTCACATGCATGGGTACATGTGCACAGGGCCGCGCTAGGGCTGCCACTGCACAGCATTCGTCGATTTACTACCATGTTGCTCCAGGCCCGTTGCCAGTGCCGTTTCTGTCGTCTTCTACACTGCTTTGCGGATCCCGTTTTGCCCAACCTGCTGGGTTAAATTATCTGTAGCTACCCAGGTCCCACATTGCCTCCAAGGACTCCTGAAATAGGTAGGTTGAGGACTACCACGTTCTACCAAACCACACTTTCATATTGAGGGTGTCAAAGCGGTTTACGAATCCACAGCCGGTTTTATTGGCACTTCTGAACCGTCCAGTTCCAACAAAATCGCCGGTCAACGGCTGAGAGATGTCCAAAGCAATGAGCTAGTTAACATTACGAACATGAAGGTTTCGATGCCAGAGGAGTGCGCCTTGGATTTGTTGAACGGGGGAGTGTGAATATGCTATTGCCTCAAAGAATCTTGCTTGGGTAACGGTGAACCCACGTTGAAGCGGAGCGTTTCGTCATCGTATCATCCTTGAACACGGTGGAATCTCCATTGCGCGCCAGATACCGAGCTGCGAAAGGAGCATTTGAAACAGCTGGCGCCCCTGGAGGAACATGCTCATTGCTGAATGCAAGAGAGCAATTGACGCTGCTGGGGAAGGAACCGTATCTCAAAATATCTCCATTGCAGCAAGACGTTCCTCATGCAGTTGCTATAGCGTTGCGTTCTTGGTGAAGACGTTGAGCTGTCCTCTTGAGGTTGCGCAGCCTTCTCAATTACGCGGCTCGGACAAAGTGCTGTTTGAAAGTGAGAGTCATAGTTGGCTGCCCATCAGCATTGCTTTGCCAAGTATCTCCATCCTGGGAAAATGGCCCGAGCGATGGTGGCCGCGCAGCTGTCTGCCCTGCCCATCGGGACCGGCGTCACAGGTTCGTGCTGCGCCGGGAGTGGCAGCTCCGCGCGCACCTGTTTGCTCCCTCGTCCAATGATGGCTCCAGTGCGCATCAAGCACAGTGTGCCTAGCCACAGCTTCTTGGGTACCTCAGAGGGTCTCCTGGGGGTGGCCCCCTGCGCGCCTGGCCGGGCCAGCAGCCGGGGCATCGCGGCGGTGGCGTCCTCCGAGGTGGCGGCCCCAGTGGCTGCGCAGCAGCCGGGCGAGGGGGCCAAGGAGGAGGTGGCACCTGTGAGGAAGGGGAAGCGCATTGCCATGTTTGTGGAGCCATCCCCATTTGCGTAAGTGTGCCCTGGCTAAGGCCCTCTCAAGTGATCGCGCATCTTGCAGCAGTCCGCAGAATGTATTGTGCCAGCAGGCAGATCTGTAAAAGGTTCAACCTCGCGCTTGATTGTGACACTTCCAATCAAGCGCAATTTTCAAGTGAACTTGCTTCTGAACCGTGTGTATTGATCTTGTCGCTTGCTTGCTTGCCTTGCAGCTACATCTGCGGGTACAAGAATCGCTTTCAGAACCTGATCCGCTTCCTGCAAGAGCAGGGCGACGAGGTAGGTGGCCATTTTCTGCAGGAGACGACTACCTCCTATGCTCGGCACTGTCGACAGTTGACTGTAGTGTGTGCTATCTTTCAAAAGCAGTGCCTATCCTCTGACCTTTGTTATCCTTATGGTTCCTTCCTTTGTGTAGTCATCCTTTGTATAGTCACTCCGAACAATATGATGTCACCCTGTCCCGTCTGGGGCTCCCTGCCCGTGTGCTGCGATGCCTGATGGGAGTGTTGCTGGGCGTGTGTGCAGGTGCTGGTGGTGACCACGCATCATGGGGCCCCTGCGGAGTGGTATGGGGCCAAGGTGGTCCCGTCCTGGAGGTGAGCCATGCTCATGTCTTGGCCCATGCCAGGCAGGGGACCATCCCCTTGCCTAATCACCGGTAAAATCGTTGTGTGTGTTGTTACTCTGTTTGCCCCCACCTGCAGGCTACCTCCTGGTTGACCTTCTTTCTCCCCCTCCCTACTTTGCTTGCAGTTTCCCCTGCCCCTTCTACCCGATCTTGCCGCTCTCGCTCGCTGCCAGCCCGCGCATCTTCAACTACGTCAAAAACTTCCAGCCTGACCTCATCCACGTCTCCACCCCTGGCATCATGGTAAGGCCCTCATGTTAATCTCTGTTGACACAGTGAGAGGCATACGGTGCCAGGGGGCCTTTGGCACTCTGGAGGTCTGGCAGGGTCTGTTCCTTGGTCCCTTTGGTGCATCATGCCTGCACCCTTGCTTGTGCTGCTGCTAGCCGCTCATGCTTCTAACCGTGGTGGAAAGTGTCCATTGGAATGAAAATCTACTGTTGTGCTGCAGTGCTTTGGCGCGCTGCTGTTTGCCAAGCTTCTGAGCATCCCCATCGTGATGTCGTACCACACGCACGTCCCCAAGTACATCCCCCAGTACACCTTCTCATTTCTGGTGGAGCCCATGTGGGCCGTCATCAGTAAGTTATGCCCAACTGTTGTCCTCTGCATCTTGTCCCCTGTCCTGCCCATTGTATTCAGGCCATTCAAGACCCCTCAGTCTGCTGTGCTGGTTTAAGTCGTTGTGGCCCTCACTCCTGGTTTGACCTGGGACTAACCTGGTGTGTTTGTGTGCCATCTCAGGGTTCCTGCATAACGCGGCCACCTTGACGCTGGCCACCTCAGAGGAGATGCGCAAGGAGATGGTCAGCTTCGGCGCAGCGACAGGTACGCTGTCCATCTCCTAGCTCTGCGCCACCCCCCTGTCTCATTTCCATTGATATACTGCCCTAGCCTAGGGACTTGGTGCACTATTGTGCGGTTCTTTTTCTTTGACTGACGGTCTTGGTGGTCGTGCAGTGACCCGCATCAAGGTGTGGCGCAAGGGCGTGGACGCAGAGCTGTTCCACCCCCGCTTCACCAGTGCGCTCTGGCGGAACAAGCTCAGGTATATGCTTGCTCATACCCAGCTTCGCAAGTAGTTTGGAAAGGTCTCTGGACAGATCGTGTAGCTTCATCTTGCAGCTTCAGTCTTGTAGACCATGGGGTTCACCCTAATTGCGCGGTTAAGCAGGCTGTCCTTTTGTACGAAGGGTGAAAGTCAATTTTCATCATGGCTGCGGAAGTTACGACTTTTCTTGGTGATCGTCAGAGGCCAGTCTTTGACGCTGTTAGTTCCATAATGACAGTTCAACGAGGTCCTTGGAGCTGCCTGACTACTTTGAGAGTACCAGACCTTTCGCACTTGTTTCTCCTTGATCGTCTCGCACTTTCTCTTTCTCACCCCCTCACATCCTCTCCCATTTTTAAAACCCCCTTGCCTCTTCAGACTCGTCGACCTTTACAAAGTCTCTTCCCTCGCCTGTTGTATTCGTCATCAGAATTTCGACACCTTGTGGTTCAAGAGGATTTTGAGCAAGATTTTCGCACTCACTCACGTTTGACCCTGGATAGCAGCCACCCTTGGGAGGAGCCGTATCACGACCATGTTGTAAGCGACACATCAACTAGACATCAGCGTCCTGCAGCCGCCTGCCTAATTTGCCACCTGTCCTGTTCTCATCTCCCCCCTTCCACATGGCTGGGCCTCATTGCCTCCCCCGGTGCTTGTGCAGTGACGGGCAGCCTGATCGCCCGCTGATTGTCCATGTGGGGCGCCTGGGAGCGGAGAAGAATCTGCCCTTCCTCAAGGAGTGAGTCCTGCCTGCCTGCCTTCCTGTCGCCGTGTGCCTCTGATTGTCAGAACGGGAGGAGGGAGAACGTGGACTTCCGAACCAATACCTAAAGACCCCTCCTAGCTATAATCCTCGGGCTGCTCAGTTCCACTAACTTGGACCGTCGATTTAAGGGCTTCCATCCGTCCTGTCACCGTCCTCTCCGATCATTCTGCCGTCATGCCAAGAATTCGATCACGGTGCTGCCATCTCACTCCCACCAGACATTTCACCGCTGCCCTGTGTCGTCTCCAGGATCCTCCGCAGAATACCGGAGGCGCGCCTGGCCTTTGTTGGCGACGGCCCTGCCCGGTAAGCCGCCAACCTGCCCCTCGCCCAGGCAGGCCCACCGGGGTCCTCCATGCTCCGAATGTGTGCCCCACCCCGCGGTACTTTCCCGTGCCCGGCACACCTAGTGTAGGCCTACTCTAATGTCGGATAGTGCCAGTACAGAGTCCCCTGGATGAGAGCCGCTTCCTGCATGTCCCATCAGTTGATGTCCTTCTGACCCTCGCTGCTGTTCACTGCGCCAGGCCCGAGCTAGAGCAGCTGTTCCAAGACACACCCACCGTCTTTACTGGTATGCTCTCGGTGAGTGGCCGCCCGCTCACCATTCTCGTTGGCAGACCAAAAGATGTCGACTTGGCAGTTTTGGCCGGCCTCTCATCAGACTTCCACTTTCCGACGGGAAGCGAAGAGCTACTCCCTGCAGAGGTTTGGAGCGAAGCAGGGGGCAATAGCCCCATTAGTGGCCGGCCTTTGGAGTTGGTGCGATTCGGTCTGTTGCTCGTAGCCTTATGGAGGCTTATCGGAGCTCTTCTGCACGTGGGCGGCTTGAAATGAGAAGAAGATTCTGGCCACCTGCTGCTACTGCAGCAGCAAGGTGGTTGCGATTGATGACAGCCTGGAGGATCTGAAAATAATCAAAAACTCGTAAACGGCAGGTTCGCTGAAAATTTTTCTATCATACCGACCAGAAGATAAGAAGTAACTGAGAAATCGACAGCTTTTTGAAAAGGGTCTTTTCTGGATGACCGTCTCTGGGTGGGAGGTTACATCTCTGCCTGCTGCTCCTGGTGAGCGGTGGCGCCCTGCTTGCCTTCGTGACCGGCCTGGCCCTCCCCCACGGTCGGTTGGGCGGGCCTGCAGCCCGCTTCGTGTCTGTAGCACTGCCTGCTGTTTGTCCTGACTGCGCAAGTGCGGGGTTGGTGGTGGTGCAGGGCGAGGACTTGTCCGCGGCGTACGCCAGTGCGGACGCCTTCTTCACGCCCAGCGAGAGCGAGACGCTAGGCTTCGTGGTGCTGGAAGCCATGGCCAGCGGCACCCCGGTGGTCGCCGCGCGTGCCGGCGGGATCCCCGACATTGTTGACAAGGACGGAGAAACGGTGCGGCGCTTCACCACTCCCATCCGGCCCGCCCACTCTTGTAGTGCTACATTCCGTGGCCCACTCGAATCCGATAAAGAATTAGGAAGTCACGGGACACTTTTCCTGGGAGGAACCTGTCAACATGGGGTATGCGAAACGTTGTGGCTCAGAATAAGACAGGATTATGGGGACGACAGCCAGGCGTATATGCAACATTGATTATGAGGGCCCCTGCGGACATACTAATTTTGATTGCTTTCTCCCATGTGTGTGCAGGGCTTCTTGTACACGCCAGGGGATGTCGACGATGCCGTGGCCAAGCTGCGGCGGCTCCTCTTTGACCGCGACTTCAATGCCAAGGTGGGAAGTGCCGCTTCTACTTTGAGTGCAACATAACTGGGAAAGCAACAGCAGTGAACTTTAGAAGGTGTCCTGCTGCGCCTTCTGGACTGCGTGCCCTCCAATGGTACTCGCCTCTGTCTTGCTGAAGCTCGCTCGTCTCGTGTTCCAGATGGCGGCGGCCGGGCGTGCGGACGTGGAGAACTACGACTGGCGGGCATCGACGCGGCAAGTGAGCGAGGACGGGTACAACACGGCGCTGCGGCTGTGGCAGCAGAGCCGGCAGGCGACGAGCGACTGGTGGCCGTGGTGGACCAAGAAGGCCGAGTGGCAGGCCTAGGTCAATGGCGGGGGGCAGCAATAGCAGATCGAAAGACCGGGGGGGAGGGGGGGCCCAAGGGAGCAATGGGGTTGCTTGCTGAGGCCGCGGCAGGTGGGAACACCCGAGCCCGTGGGGGAGTTCCCGTGGCCTTGTACAGTGACGTAGACGATTCTTGTAGGTTGAGGCACCTTATCCTCACGTACCGACCCAGTGTTTTATGCTAGGAATCAGCATATATATGAGCACGCACGACTGGGAACGCTGGTGGCCGATGGCCGGAAGTTAGGCTCTGCGCGTGTGGTTGTCTGCATAGCTCGAGGTAGCTAGCGTTGCTTGTTTTGGCTACACGAAGAGTCAGCTTTGCACTGGTGTTTGAGGATGCAGACGTGGTCGCTACTAACATATGCAGACCTAATTGGTGCGACTCGATTTTCTGCTCTGGGTATCGTTTGTCCGGCTTTCCGCCTCCCTTCTGTCATCGTGGCATGCCGGTCAAGTTCTTAGTAGTGCCTCAAAGTCTCTCTCGAATGGGCATAAGGGATTAGGTGTTGACCTGATAACACACAAGGATGGATCAAACAGTGACTTGATAACACACCAAGAATCATGAACCGGTCTATATGTGATTAAGTCTTGCTGTCGAAGTTTGCAGTGGCGGGAAAGGGCACAGGAGGTGCGAGGATGCAATTTCTGAAAAGAAGAACGCACTGGATAGTGTATGTCTGCCAGCAATAGATTGCATCTATATGACTCCATCACCGCTGACCTTACTATAACCATGCTATGGCCTAATGCGCTGCAACGGATTCTGTGCTCATGCAAAAGATATATATACTGAGCTCATACCACATTGCAAAACGAGTATTGCAGACTGACTGCAATATGAACCATACATGTCGTGGGCAATTTAACAGTCCAATACATGAAGCATGCAATGGTATCCAACGAAAAATATTCAGAATTCATTCACTGTACTATGTAGAGGCTGCGGGTTGGCCCGGCTTGATTTACTTAAGTGCAGGCTACACTGAAGGTCAATTCAGTGTCGACGTAGGCTTGCATCTTGACGACAAGTGGTGCATGTGCGCCCCCGGATACACTGATCTCGCAATGGCACTAGTACATGTCAATCATACACGCCGCTTTGCTGACGAGGGAGGCGCTTCCTTCTCATCAATGATTGCCAAAGTCGTCGTGGAACTTGATGTTGCCGTTCAGGAATGAGTCCGAATCTGCCACGCGGACATGGCATGGTCCCGTTAGTGCAGCAACTTCACGTTGGACCCTTTGCTCGACAGAGGAAATTCAAGCGGTGCGTGCAACCGTCAGATGGAAATGGTCTCCAGCAGAATAAGATGTCTACCCAGCTTGCAGTCGGTGTACAGTCAGGCAACTCGCAAAATCCATACTCGAGCGGGGCAACTTTGCAGCTTACCGGTCATCTCCAAGGACGCCAGCTCTCGCCGGACATACGCCGCAAGAATCTGCAAAGACGGAGCCAGGTCAACACCTCGGGCAGATGTACGAGAAACTTCCTGAGGAACATCTAAATCTGCGCCACGTTCAACCCAGGGTACGACCAAGCAGTAACCTTGACTCGCGAGCCTCTCTCATTCTCGATCATCCAGGCCAGTCCTCGACTTTCTCGGCAGCACTGTTTTGTGGCAGTCTCACCTCGGCGTCGCGCGTCCGCGGCCCTGCGGGCAGCTCCCGCGGCTCGCCTTCCTCCGCTAACACGTTCCTGCATGTCCGCCATGCACGCGGTCGCTCAATACACACGGAAGGCGGATACCTCGTGCACACAAGCAGTAGACACGTACGGCATCACCAGTGAGATCCCCCCCTGAGGGCGTGGGCCCGCACAGGGCCGTCTGGTGCGAAAGCAGTGGTCGAGCTGGCTGGCAGCCAACTGGGCAGGCCCCTCAAGGCCGTGGAGGCACTGTCACGAGGAAAGGGTACGCAGCGCCATGAGGCTCTGCCTTGCACTGCCTACCTCCAGAGCGCTTGCGGAAGGTCGCCTGCAGCAGCTGTCGGGGCAGTCGCGTCATCGTACGCACTGGCCGCTCCATAAAAGTACTTTTCCAGGTCGCGCAAGTACGCAGACGTGTTCATTGTGACCTGCGGAGAAAGGGGTCAGCTCGGCAGTTCGGTGGGGGCCAGCCCGGGGGGCGAAGCCTTACAAGGAGAACAGAGACGAGAGGCAGGTGAAAGCGAGGAGAAACCAGTACTGCAGACAGAAGCTGGAGCCGTTCCTAATGTTGAGTCTCGCTCTGTGGCCCCTTTGGTGCTGGCGCTAGCTGGGGCGCTTACCCCCTCCTTGACAACGCGCTTCTCCACATCGTGCTGGAAGAGGTCGTAGAGCATCTGGCCCACGGGGGCACCGCGCTCGGGGCCGTCCTTGCGCAGGCGCACCAGGCAGAGCCACACGTGCAACACGAGCAACGAGTAGGTCGTGCGGAAGGTCACTGGCAGGTGCACCGCTGCGCGTTGCAACAAAGCAAGCCTTCAGGCACTGGCGACTAAACTTGTGGGACGCGGAGTGCAGCTGGGCAACCCAGCAACAGTCATTGGGTCTGTGTGAAAGGAGGCCAGATCTCGAGAATCTGAGCTGGTGGCCACCAGGAGGCAGGCATAGGTGCCCACCTTGGTAGAGGCGCTCGTTGAGCACCTGCACTGTGATGTGCTCAAAGAGAGCGGTGCTCCCGCGCGCCACACGACTCTCCGGGGTATAGTACCCCATCACTCGCAACGCAAGCTGGCGCCAGCCGGCGGGGGCGCTCTCCTTCTTGAACAATGAGGAGGAAGGCGGAAGAGCCAAGGACTCAGGAGCCGCACTTTGAGGATGCTGCAAAGAGTAGAGCAGGCCACTTCAAACAGTGTCTATGAATTCCTTACGAGCACTCTTGAGATTGGACACGGCACGATCTCAGAAAAGTCGGCCTTTCCGTAATGCTCTGTCTCATACAGTGAACCGCCAGCGCTGACCTGCTGCCTATGAAGACGGTTAGAAAGTGAGGGCATCTTACTGAAGAAGCTGCCAGCGTACTCCAGAAAGGAGAAAGCATTCATGACGTCTGCGGAGGACGATGCCAGGCAGATCTTTATTTCCATGAATCGTGCCTTTCACGCAATCAGTGGGGATCATTGGATGGCCTCTACATACTATATAGAAGGAGAACGGAGCAGGAACTGAAGAGACTGGACGATGTTGTCAGCAGGGAAAAGGGCTTGCATGCAGGCTTGAGCTGTAAGTGACAAGGATCAAATATCGGATCTTGTGAAAGGCTGTGCGCTATAGAGCCTTGATCAATCACCCAGTGAGTGGTGTTGTAAGCCAGGGCCTAGCACCACCTCCAGCATCACCACCACCGAGCCATCGCGTACACAGTGCTGCATCAAGGGTGATAAGAAAGACGGCGCCTACATTTAATATGCTGCCTCGGCTGGCCCCCTCCTGCTTGTCGCCTTCTCCACCTCGTGCCTTGCCATACATGGCAGATCTTTGTGCAATCTCCTTCTGCCATGTCTGTTTCCACCTTCGCCCACCCAGATCAAAAGTTGTGTCCCAAGCAGCAGCATTCCCCTGATGCACTCTGTAGCTGGTACTGACCGTCGCCCCAGTCGTTGCGCCAGGGCTCTCCGGGCTGTCCCAGCACGCCGCAGCCAGATCGCAGGTGGCTACTCCAACCGCTCGCTCCAACTGCGAGCAGCGCCGACTGCTCAACAGAGCGGCCTCCCATATCAGAGATGCAGATTGCCGCAACATTTTGACAACAGTGGCTGGCTGGACCCTCTTTTAACGACTTCCTGTACAATGCTGACAGCAGCGCTCTGCTAGGCGCTCTCCCACTTCGCAATTTCGCATTTTAATTGTTGCCCAAATTGCTGCCCACATCAGCTGATGGAATCCACATGTGACATTCCACATGCAGGGCCTGAGCGAAAACTGCAAAACAGGCTGCAAAGGGATATTTAGGGTTTGGCCAAACAGGGCGAAGGCTTTGACTAACAACGAATCTGAAGCGTCCACTTTTCCACGTTAAAAGATGAACGGTATCGAACAATCGCAACTTCGTGCTGCCCCCGTGTTTCGCACTCCCCGAATGCACGTACCATACGTACCCGTACCTACTTATACGGTACCTACCATCGATTCTTGCGAAAGGTCGCGGGTTCAAAGCCTCGACGTTGGAACTTGGAACATGTACATTTAACTCATCTCAGTAGCCTTTGAGCGAAAGCTGTTGATACTTACAGCACGCTCGCATGCGCTCGCCTGATAACAACGTACACTCTTGGGTCGATTGGCATGACATTTCGTCCTCCTTTACATTGTGCGTGTGGTTGTGCTTGTCACCGGCCTCTTTTGTATTTTGCGACATGAACAAAACTGTAGGGTTCACTTGACAATTTTGATGCTCGTGGTTGCTCACTACTGGATTCTGATCCTGTGTGTTGGGTTTACTATTGTCTACCAGACAAGAAAGCAACCCTGCATCTGGCCCTTGCTGGAACCGAACATAAATATTGTAGGATGAATGAACTTGCGCCAAAGAGCTGGGCCTAGCATAGCAGGCAACTTGGGCTGTCTATTATGCTACACACTATTGGAACTATGATCAGCAGCGGTTGAAGATGACCCTCCGCAACAAGCAGAATAGAACCCTAGACCTTCTAATAAATTTGGTGATTATCAATTTATCAATGGCTATAGCCTATCCCGCAGCAAGTTCGCAACTTGCTTGTATTCGTTGCCCTCTTTCTTTGCAGCAAATTGGCTGGGTGCCTTAATTCATTGTGGTTGCTTGATTGTATCTGTATCGTCCTGCAAAGTATCGGAAGCAACCTCTCCTACATACATCTGGTATTGCAGATCGCCCCCTGAAGCACATAGTCGAAGTCCCCTATAATCGCCCCTCGCCTGCGCAGCGCAGATGTCCATCATCCTGCAATGATAGCGAGCCATGCATGTGCTTCATAGTTTTGCAACCAGATTCCAGGGTGGATCGTTTTGCAGAATCAGAAATCAAGGTAGATTCGTGTGAAAGCTGCCGTTCGGGAACGAAGCCTATTCAAAGGAACAGTGCCGGAATGCACAAGGGACTCAAACTGGATAAGCTGAAGATACGCCTGCCCTCTTGTTCGGTCACTTGAAAGTTGTTTTTCGACGTTGGCTTTCCGTACGTTGCTTTCAACGTGATGGACCTTTATCACCTGCTGCACTGCACAAAATCCGGTGAATCTGTATGACCATTTCAAATGGCTTTCAACTAGGAGATTAAAGGTGACCAGCTCTGTTTATCCTTGACGAGTCCGCTGAACCATCGGCTCAAATGACCAGCCATCTAAAGCAAGTCAACCAAGAATGGAACAGGAACCAGACAGGTTTAAGTCACTCACGTTCGAAAGAGAGGTCGATCTGCAAAGAAAGGCTGCTCACGAAAGCTCTTCAACGAAAGCCACTGCAGGAAACAGGGACGATATTGAATATCAATCGTTTTGGCTAACTGCATCATTTTGGCCAAACAGTTGCCAAAGAATAGAGGTGTTTCATTGCAGACACATTTAGAGCAATGAGGTATGACCTCCCGAGAACGAAAGACAAAGTTGGTCTCATAGATTGTGGTGACATGCGGCTTCTTTCTGTTCGCATTGGAAATTTCCGCTGCGAGCCCCAAAACACATTCGTCTGTCAAACTATATTGCGGTTGGCTGACCTACAGCTGCCTGCATCAAAGATTTCTCTGCCAGCCTTGTTAGTGTCTCTTTGAAGTCTCCACGTTTAGCTTACCTTGGCATCGGCGATTTCGGATTCTTGAGGAGTGATGTCATGGCTCAAAGCCCGCAGAGCACACACAAAGAAGAGGTCCGACTTCCCATGAGCTATTCCGTGGGCTTGCCTGCAAAAGTCAAGAAGCGGTGGTTGGCGTAAAGGGACGATCACACGCTACGAGAATCCAAGAGGCGTTCAGAATCTTGACAACATGGACCGAGATACTTCCTCAATGCTCCCTATTCTTGTCACCTAAACCTTCTCTGCCCACAACCATTCGTTGTCAAGTACACACCTGAAACACAACACTTCTTGGAATTCTGCATCGATTCCCGTCTCTTCCTTCACCTCTCGTACTGCTGCAGCACAGATATCCTCTCCCTGAGACACACGAGGGGTCGGATTAAAGATGCGCTACTTCGTAGCAAAACGAAGCCTCTACATCGTTTACTTGGTGACAGAGAAGGCTGCCACGTGCGCATCCTGTGCGGTCAATGATGGACGACAGCGATGTTCGATTTGCCTGCTCGTACATCCCCCAATGGACCAGATAGAGCGGGTGCCCCGAGGTGGAACTCACGTGATTTGCTAAACCCGTTGGCAGCTTCCAGATACCAGTGCCACGAAGTGGGCCGTTCTTCTCTTGTACGGCCAAAACCTGCTCCAAACAAGTTGAGTCCGCTTCACAAAAGGAAACGTGGGCCAGACTGTGTTCGCCGGTGCTGTCTGAAGGCTGGACGAAAGTTCCTTACGGGCAGAAGCTTTGCGGCTCCTGAAAGTAGCACTCAAACCCCTTAGAGCACAAGTGTATGATAAAGTCGCCGAATAGCTGGGTATTACCCCCTGCCAGGTTATAGACTCAGCCGCAACCGGCCCTTTTCATGTTAGCCTAGCCAAGCTCCAATTTCAATCGTTTTCAAATGGCTGCAAAAGACGTTGACAAAGCCCATGTTGGTCGCTCTGTCCACATCTCTCTGACTTGGACGGTGCCCGCTCCTGCATGCCAATTTTGTTAACGTTGCCCCATTTCGATGTATACGCGTTACATGCAGCTTTTCTCGCTTTCTGGGAGTAATCTTCCAACTCTCCAGCCATTCTGGGAGTTGATTCCCCATCGAGCCAATTTTTACTCTAGGGCAATCCTTTCTTCCGATGTAGTAGGCCCGTAGTTTGATTCAAGGCTTTTCTTCCCTCCTGTTATGTTGTCTGTGGTGTGACTCACCTCTCCTGCGTCATTCAGCAGAAAGGCTCCTACACCCACTTGATGGGAGGCGTTGGCAGGCAGCGTTGACGGCACCTCTGGAAGCCACAGGGTCAGCATGCAGTACCCGGGGTCAGCATGGTGGTAGCCAAAACCTGCCTGCCAGGGGGGAACGGACGTGAATTCGTGGACTACGAAGACTCGCATATGGGTCTGCTCCTTCTTGGAGGACATGTCCAGCTGACCAGCACCGCAAAAGAGTTTGATCAGATCACACTATCATACTTCATAAAGGCGGCCTGCCTTAAATGTCCACGAAGCAGATCTCCCGTAGAAATTAGCATGTTCCTGACAGAAGCATGACAAGGGCTGGTGAAAGGAGAACTCATCCCTACAAGCAGTCACATCATCTTGGCCTGGACGCTTCAATCACGCTTTCAGTCCTGAATACCCAGCACTTTGCATCTTACTGCAAAACCTTCGCCGCATCTTATGCACGTAAACTGGTCATTAGAACAAAACCCACATGAGGGCAAGATTCCAGCCTTACCTTGATAGCTGTGGGCACTAGATCCACATGAGAGAGGGGCAGCTTCAACCAGATCCCTTTCTTGCCCTGCACTCGAGAAGCACAAAGTCACTCACTGAGTTTATGACTGAAATCAGCCTTACAAAGCAGTCAATGTCATCAGCCTCAGCCAAGGGATCAACCCAATGACCACTCTACTTTTGAACTTGAAGAGCCCCTGTATTGCCACCTAGCAACACGACTCCAAAAGCATGGTGCCCTAGCCCTGAGCTTCCTCAAGCTAACAAGCGAATGGACATCAGCGGAGACACACGTGCGCAATGCTGCCGAATCATTTTGCCTCCATCTCAACCCCTTATCATCACACCATTCCTGTGTCCATCGATCCGAATAAGCCTGTCCTCAGCTGCCCCGTGCTTTCCGTGCCCAGAATTTAAGCGGTGGAGGGACTTCGTACGACCAATGTTTGCAACCACCACCACCTACCTGAGCTTTCCAGTGAAGAATTGAGGCTTCTAGCCTGCTCCGGAACTCTTCCACAGTCGATGGTAAGAGGTCTGCCTCAACGATCATGCCGTCATAGCGATCCTCGATGGCTCCAAGTACTTGGAACCCATGGGTTTCGCTGGTCGAAGCAACCGGGCTGGCGTCCATAGCACTGATCCTTCTTACTACCGAACGCTCGCTGCCTGCTTCGTCAGCTCGTTTGTCTACAGCCAGATATGTCTCATGCAGATCCTTGAATACACGACGGGAGAGGCTATTGGGCTTGGGCACTATCAAAAGATGATTTGCACATCGCATGCGTTCTGGCCCTGAAGCTGAAGCTGGTGGTGATCGTCCCAGTAATAGCGTGGTTGGCTGATGGGCCCAGCATTCTTTGCTCCCACCCTGAATGGAAAGATCAACACAAGATCGTTGCTGAAAGCGGAACTTGAAGGACGTCCTACTCCAGATTCGAGCCATCTGCCTGGAACCAACGCAATGCAGGCTGCAGCCACTAGGTAGATTGGTGGTCCACTTGTGTGCAGCACTAATTGGTGACGAGCAGCGCCCGAGTGTGAACGTGGCCGGTGTCCCACTGTCACTCAATGCAGCCATTATGGACGGCTTCGCGCGCTTCCCGTGGTGTCAGATTGTCCACGTGCTATATATCCGACGGCGTTGGCGGGGGGCATGGCCTCAGCCGCTAACTTTTGCCTGTTCTCATCAGTTGCCCACTGGCATCAGACTCGAAGGGACAGAAGAGACGACTGCCTAGGTCCGTTGCTGGCATTGGCATCTGCACGCTACCTCCGTCTACGTACAGTTGCGAAGAAACAAAGAGACATGGCGGCAACACATGCTGCGCTGAAGGCATTCGGTGGCTGTCATCTACAATCGTCAATACATAGGCAATCGTCAAATGTTGATGCGTCTTTGGATTTACAGGCTTCAACGAGTGGGCGATTCTCCGCACCTTTTCAGAATGACAAAAAGACTCGAGGGTCTGCCAGGACTTGGTCTCCCTGGAGGGACAATATCCCTCTGACCAGCAAGAGAGAGTTGCTACTACATGCTATGGGCAGGAAAGGGCGGTGTCAGTGTAAGCAGGCTGGTTTGCCATGGCCCTATTCTCGACCTCTCGGCCAGCAGCGCAGGGACTTCCTTGCCTGGTGCATAGCTGCTCTGGTGGGGGGGCAAGTAGGGACAGCATGTGGATCGGACATGGGGGCAAAATCAGGGGCTCTGGCGAGCAGCGCTGTGTGTCAGCAGCCGGTTGTCCAGGGGCCGGTGGAGGTCAGCGTCATCCCGCGCTGGTCTGGAGTGGACGCTGGGCACATTATTGAGGATGGCGGGTATCCTCCAACAGTGGTCGCAGCACCGGGGCGGAGAGTAGTTGCGTGTGAGTCTGGCTTCCATGTCTGCCTCTCTATTTAGGGTTTCAGGTTGGAAAGGTCCAGAATCAGCATTATACCAATGCACTTGGGGAATACATTGGCTGCCCCCTTTGGTGTGCATGCGGTGCCTGCTGTTGGGCTTAGCTGGTAACTCAATGCTTTGCGCTGACGCAATGTTGGAATGTTAGGCTGTAAAGTCGCGGACATACATCTGATGGTTGAGAATCCAAGTGCAAAGCGCCCAATGCACGAATGACATGTCAGCCTTTTGGTTCTGCATACATTGAAGGCGTCAGCATTTCTATTTCTGATCTGCACCCAGCTCTGCTTAAGTTGCGCATTGCTTATGGTTGACCAAAGCATGTTATGGTGCAGCTGGTGACTTTCACGGCGACATGCGGGCGGCACGGCGAGCCCTGCAGCTGGCGGGTGTGCTGAGCCAGGACCAGCAGGACCGGTGGACGGGGGGCAGCTCCGTGTTTGTCCAGGTGGGGGATGTCTTGGACCGGGGGGACGACGAGATTGCCATCATGTCACTGCTGGCGCACCTCAGCCGCCAAGCCAGCGCAGCCGGAGGGGCCCTCTACCAGGTAAAGCATATGAAACCAAGTTCTATCAGTAAGTTGGGTCTGCTATTAGCCTACCGGAAGTTTGTCCTACTGCACTGAATCTGGCAACCGATGCAGTGCCACTCTGGATCCACATTGTCATTCCATGTTCAGTGTATGCTGAGTGCATGTCACATGCAATAAGCCTCTTCTCACTGCGTTCTTTGCAGGTTTGTGGGAATCACGAAACAATGAATGTGTATGGCGACTTTCGATACGTGACTGAGGAGGGGTTCAAGGAGGGCGATTGGTTTGACCGGTGGGCCCGCGAGAACTATGGCGGCGACCACATGGCCGCCTTCCAGAGCTGGTACAAGGAGGCGCCCCTTGCCAAGTAAGCCCGCACCAGGCTGCCCCCGCTGAGCCGGCCTACCAGGTCTCAAGCCTGGCCCCGCAGCCCTGAGAAGCTGTCCTGTATGTGTGATGGCTGCAACTCCCTCTTCTTGTATCAATGTCCGACGGAGGATGCTCCGCCCCCTGATGTGTGCCTCCCCTGCCTGGGTGTGGCAGGCAGCAGCTGAAGCGGTCGCCCAGTGCGTCATGGAACCCGCTGCTGGCCAACAGGCCCCGTAGGGTGCGGCAGGAGCTGTTTGAGCCGGGGGGTCCGCTGGCGCGGGTCATGGCCGGCTACAGCGCTGTGCTGCAGGTCAACGACTCGCTGTTTGCGCATGGGGGGGTCCTCCCGCACCACGGTCAGTCACCGCCGCGCCCCTCGAGAGACAAGGTTGAAGCAAAAGCTCGGTGATGTCAGAGATACATTGCGCTGCCCAAAGTAGGGCCCAGGCCTGTACCCATTGGCCATATGCTCGTCTTAAACATGTCGGCCCGGATGCGCTTCAGGCTCAAGGATGTTGCACACATAGCTCAGCCTGAGTGTCTTGCTGACACGGCCTGCTCGCTTGCCTGGCCAGTTGACTACGGGTTGGAGCGGCTGAACCGCGAGGTGTCGCGCTGGATGCTGGGCCACACGGACCGCGTCACAGGAGAGCCGCAGGAGCAGCCCTTCCTGGCCACGCGCGGCTACAACAGCGTCATGTGGTCACGCCTCTACTCCCGCGAAGAGTACGACTCAGGGGCGGAGCGTGACCAGGTGCGCACTGCACCACCCCAGTCTCACAACCCGCTTTCTTGCGTCAGCTGCGGCAACTCGGCTGGTCCCCTCGGTTTCTGGTGCCCCTTATATAAAGGGGCCAGTGAAAAAGTCGTTTCATGTCTCCGTTGGGTTGAGACGCTCTCTGTGCCCGGCTGGCCGCCCCCCTGAGCCGCTACTGTGTGTCCTGTGCCGGCAGGTGTGCATGACGCTATCCAAGGCCCTGCGCATGGTCCCCGGGGCCAAGCGCCTCATCGTGGGGCACACGCCGCAAGAGACAGGGGCCAACAGGTAGGCACACAGCCGCGCTAAACGTACCTCTGCTGCAGCTTCTGGCAGGCTCTGGTGCGAATCGTTTTGGAGGCTTGCGATGACGGCCGGGCTCCGTCCACTTTGCGTGTGAGACAGGTAAAAACGTGGTGATGCTCACTGACGCAGCAGAGGGTTTGATAGCTGTCCAGTTGATAACGTGGCCGGTGTTTGAGTAGGGAATATAGAATATCCAATTTTCTCAGAAGTTGCCAAGACCAACGCGTCACGCAAACATTCACAGAGTTCTGCCCGTCCGAAAGCACAAGCATCCAGAATCAGCCGCACCAGTCTGGAAATTGCAAAGCACAAGTCTGTACTCCAGTAGTCAGTCATCCAGTCTGGGCAATGTATTCCAGCAATCTCAAGGTATCTTACGTTGAGCATCGCAATCGAAGCTGTCCTTAGCCAGAGCTTGCTTTGTTTGACGGCTTGAACTTAAACCAGGCCGACTTTGAAGGTTAAGTTTCCTCCCACTCTCGGTTGAACCCAAGAGCAAGCAGGGTATCAGTCTCCCTCTTGTGTGTGTGCAGTGAGTGCAACGGTCGCATCTGGCGAATAGACGTGGGCATGTCCAGCGGCATCCTGCAAGCTGCCCCGCAGGTGAGCTGCGTTAACACCAACTGCTCTGCAGACAGCACCAGTGCTTGAACATAAGGCAGTGGCCAACTTCCATATGACATGGGTTGGTCGTGCATCGAAAGGCCCCAGCAAGCTCGTCTGTGCCGGATATTCGAGGTTTCGGTGGCCTCCTTTTGAGTAACGAAATGCAGCGTGCTTGCAGCGTTGGCAGGCTGGTTTGATCAATAGTGCATAAACGCCAAGTTAACTTGTCGTGCAGGTACTCGAGATTTCTGGGAGCGACGTCCGGGTACTCAGCGAGGAGACTGGCCGCGACTTATGGTTGGCATCGTACATATAAGTCTAACAATCACCAATGTTTGAGTAACCTCGCAATCTGCTGGCGTAAAATTGTACTTCTAAAGTGTACAACCTTCATGAGGCACTCAATTTGTAAATAGTTTTCGAACTGCAGCTTTACAGAGGGGGAATTAGTTGCCACTGCGGGTAGGATGCGGTCAGAAATTACTGATTGGATCGGGCGCCAGCTCACGTGTTGACGGGTTGAAGTTCTTAAATAAGGGGAAATTATGGGGTATTTGTGTTACATGCTCCAACCCCAGCTACATGGAACTTCCTGATTTGTATACAACTTCCGAGAGGATTCTGTAAGTCAAGAATACTGTTCTTTGAAAGGTGACGGGAAGTAACTCTTAGGTTCCAACGTTGACCCTCATGATCATTTTTGCCATGAGAACCTATGGCCTATTTTTGGCTACGGCGCATTTGGAAAAAATCCATCATAAGAAGCGTGTAGTCCAGGTCATGATGGTTTTGTGCCGCGCAGGCGATGCAATGAGATCATTGTAATATGTCTTCTTGCAGGTTCAATCAATGCAACAAGTATAGGTACTGCAGCTAGTCACTAAGCTGGCAAGGCGGCGGCAGCGTATGGATTGATTCAAATATACGCATGTACATGCAGCACTTATACCTGAAGAGCTTTACCGGTACGTACTAGAAGTCAATGGCACTGAGCTCTACTCTATAACCAAGGGTACATATACTCGATCGTTCTTCTGCATGAGAACACTGTGCGTGTGGCCCGGTGGTGTTTAACAAAATTCAGCGCGGAAACCCCAACATGAGCATGGGCACACTGACCTCTTAAGCTATCGCGTCCAGTGCATGCATGTCAGACAGCTCAGTACAACATATTACAGCTATACTTGGAGTACATGCTTCTGTAAATATTGATGAATACCAACCAATCTTCAACCCGGAGGCCCATGTTTAAGATAGGTACGTTTCACTTTTGCAATGGCGTCATCATGTTTTCAGGAAGTAGAATCAGCGAACTTGTTATGCACTTCAAAAGCAAATGCTGCGCTTCGTTACAATCACGTACGGATTTCACGCATACACCATCTTCAATCAATCATACGAGCTATAGGTGCCTCAATTCCAAACAACCTGACCAAACCAGGCATGTGCCCGTGACTGAGATCCGAAACGATTGAATGGACCTTCTTCAGGTCAATACTGTAAAAGGAGCCGGCATGACAAGGTGATTGGGGTCCGGTTTAAGGCCAGTTGTTAGCGTCAGGAGCCGGCAAGGATTTGCACTCGGTACCGTGCGCATCGGATATCCGACAAATATTTCTGCCAGAAGCTGCTTGGAGGGGTTGGTTGTCCACGGTACGCCCGAATCTTCAAATCGATGCTGACGTCAGAACCAAGTCGGACAGCGAGCGACCATACCTCGAGGTCCAATCATCCGCTGGCCTGGTGCTCGCGGCCTTTAGTGGTGTTACACCGCGGGCACCTCTTCCGGTCCGATGCCCTTGGCGTTCAGCCTCTCCCGCGCCGCTTCCACCTCCTCGGACGTAAAGTCTGGCAGGGGCGGCCCGTCCAGGGGCACCGTGTCCTCCCGCACAGTCTCGGCGACCTGAATGAGGGCCGGGAAGCGCGCGGGCTGCTGCTGCGTAATGCAGTGGATGTTGCCCCCGTTCACCAGGATGTTGCGGGCCGGGACCATCACCACCTTGTGCTCTGCACAGACCCAGCGACAACAGGAAGTTATAATTTGGGTATTGTATTTTTGTAGCTCTGCTTCTTCAGTAGCGGCATCCGGTGCCTCAAGCAAGTAAGGCACGAGGGGTCACCCGCTGGGGTCTGGTCTCCGGCAGGCGGTGGCCGTCACGGAGTGGCTCACCCGGGAAGACCTCCTCCAGCTTCTGCTTAGCGCCCACGTCGTGCCGGATGTCCCCGAAGCCCGGCGCAACGATGCCGCCATTGGCAATGTAAAAGTTGACGTACGAGCCAGCCATCCTGCAGCAAGGAGGGAAATGCGAGCTGGGCACGTGCGAGGAGCAGGACAGGACCCGGGTCCAACAGTGAAGGAAGAAGCTTGCGCTGCGGGTTCCGAATGGTGGGCAGACGGGGGGAAAACCGACTTGAACCAACTTCCATCCACTCGAACAAAAGTCCTTATTGACCAAGCTGCCCCACAGGGCAGGCCTCTTTCCAAGTCCCTGTCTTGAACATACATGGGGATTCCGCTCCACTGCTGGGTGTTATAGTTTCTCTGATTATTCTCCGCTGATGGGTACCGGAATTCTCGGGCGCTTCCACAGCCGGCTTACCGTCCGCCGACGTCCGTCTTGACCCGCACATCGCTGCTGGGTGCCAGCCCGTCAACCTCCTCCTGAGTGTAGGTCAGCGGAGTGGGCAGGTGCAGCTTGTGGACCTGCACGCCACCACAGCCGGAGGGGGGGGCCATCACCAGGCTGCCCTGAGCATGCTCTTCCTCTTCAACGATGTGCGGCTCATTAGTCAAAGATGTAGGCACTTGCTTCCCACTCTGCCGCATGCATTCCCTGTGGGTTGATCACAACCATCATTAACTCTATTTTGAAGATCCTGACCCTGACGCCGAGTCATCAAAGACATCAAAGACAGGGTCCCCCGCACGACGTTGCAAACTTACCTCGAGGGCGCGGCCCTTCGCATCCTTTTCCCGGATCAGTTGCTCGTACGCCTCCACCGAGCGCTCGTACTGGGGGTCTGTCTCATCATCAGTCCACGCAAGCAGTACCACTCCGGGGCGCGCAAAGCAGGCCATGTTGTCGATGTGTCCGTCCGTGTCAGTGTCCCCAAACAGGCCATGCTTCAGCCAGATGACCTTTTGCACATTCAAATATGCCTGCAGCTGCGCCTGGATGGCAGCCTTGGGCATGTGCGGGTTGCGGTTCGGGTTGAGCAGGCACTCCTCCGTGGTCAAACACGTGCCTGGGCACAAACGCACAGCGCCGCGGGTGGGGTGAGTGACACGCGCAGGAGCCAGCAGCGGGTGGAGAAGACCCAGATTCAGGGGTGGGCACAAAAGCGAAACGCGAGCCGTAAAGAGCACAGCCTGCGAGCAAAATATTCCCTTTTCAAAGCTGAGTAAAGACTGGGGCGCAATTCTGGATTAAAAGATAGGGGCACAAATCTGGATTTCCAAGGCCGCGCGTAGTCTCACCTTCCCCGTCCACGTGTATGGAGCCCCCCTCGAGTATCATGGGGTGCGGGAAGCGGGGCAGCTTCTCAACCTCCAGTATCTTGCGCGCCACCAGAGCGTCCTGCGTCCAGTCTGCGTACAGGCCCCCCAGCTCCCCGCCCCACGAATTGAACGCCCAATCAATTCCAGCAACTTCCCGCCCATCTTCCGACTTTCCCGAAGGCTGCTTGGCACGGGCGCAACATTGGTTTCCACATGTATCCTGGGCCTTGTAATTTGTAGCTTAAGCTAAACTCATGCTTGACAAGATTTTTGCAATGCCCAAGGCCAACACTTTTGAATCGCTCTAAAGAAAGATGTTTTTGTTGCGCTGATTGGAGCGGATATGGCAGAAAGGCTAAGAGATGCCACATTCTACCTGTCAGTTCCTCTCAGCTTGCTTCATACGGCAAATGCACTCGGGCACCCCACAATCCCATTGATATTTCCCTGGGAACAACACCTGAAACCGCCAGAAAAATCAGCGTACTCACCGCATCCCGCACCACAAAGGTGGGTCCAATGTCCCTCAGCCAGGCGTCATTGAAGCTGGTCTCCACCACCCGGATCTCCCGCGGCAGCATGGCGCGCGCAGTGGGCCACTGGGCCGCACTAGCAATGATGGTCACCGGTTCGAATCTGCCAATGGTGGTGGCCACCTCCACAAATGCGGCCTGCGCATGCTTGGCATTCCCATACCACAGGTCCGGACGTTCAGGCCAGCCCATCCAACAGCCGTCATGGGGCTCCCACTCAGCGGGCATCCGAAAGCCAAGCGCAGCAGGGGTCGCGGTGTTCTGCACCTCAGGCTCCATGGGCGCGCTGCCACCGCAGAAAGGATGGCAGAATTGCGTTGGCACCGCCTGTCTTAGCAACGTGCATGCGTCAGTCGCCCTGGCCGGGCAACTCAGGGGGACCAAACGCCCCAGGTAAATAGGTTAGCAACATGAACAGTGTTCCAGCAGCCAAACGGCTTACCTATTGCCCGGAGCCGAAAACTTGTGGGATTGAACCTCCACAGGGTCACCATCGAAACCCCGTGGTTTCGTGTCCGGGCAAAACGCCGTTTAGGAGATGTAGAGGGCTGGTTTAGGTGGGTTTCACAGCCAAAAACACATTAACCTTCTTCTAACAGTCTTCTTAACCCTCGCCTCAGACCAACCGAGGACCGCATCGGCCTCGGGACATCAGAATAAGCAATCTTGACCGTCAAAGTCAGGGAATTTCTCATCTGACGGTGCGGAACATGGTTCGCGGACTTTGAGTGGTGTTTGGTCCCCCTGGGGCGACTACAGTAGTCTATAGGTAATAGGGTTTGCGATTTGGGTCACACATACGTAGGGTTCCGTCACATTTGTACCTGGTCGGTACCCCCCCTTTTCGCCGTTCCAAGTTTACATCTATATAAGCTCAGCTCGTTCGTAGCCATATTTTGCCGGGAGCCAAAAGATTGTTTCGAAAGCGAGTCTACTGCAAATTGAATATCGCAAAGGGTGGGTTCGACCGTAGACGTGAAACCATCAATATCTACGGCCCGGGCTCTCACCTATAGAGCTTCGCGTAGCTTCTAATATCGGGCCCGACATCGCATCGCCGCGGCCGGCGCGGGGGTACCACGTTAACCTACACTGTAAGTTAAAGACGGTACTTTTCAATCTGCTTCTTCATACTTAATACTAAACTTCTCAGCACACGTTGTCCATAGAATCGCGCCCTCTTTCTACATAAATATTCGTTTATCGTCGAAACCGCCGGTTTCGAAGCCGTGGGCCCTGGCAATTTTGAGTTTAGCGACAGAATCTGATGACGGGTCGTAGCTCACGTCATTTGCATCGAACTGAATGTACAGCCATTTTGAGAGGCCGTCGAAAACAACTCCTCGGGGAACCTCAGTAGAGCGACCGTCTTCCAAGGAAATACAAGCTTCAAGTCGCTGCGCTGTTATATCCGGGGCAGCAACGCGAAAGTAGAATTGACTTTCTCGAAATTCGTTAGGTACCGTTGTAGACTGCCCTGGTAGCGTGGGTCACAGCATCGCCCGTCAGTCTGACTCTGAGTCTCAGCTGGCAGATGCTCTCGACTCGAGAACAAAGTTCGGTGATCGATCTGCAAGTGAAGCTTCCCACGCAGCTTCGGCTTCCAACTTCAGGTTCTCCCTGCAGTGGAGTTCTCCCGGCGTTTGGAGTGGCACCAGCATGGAGGATTTCAGCAGGGAGTCCAAGATGTGCACTAGATTCCTGAAGCAAGACAGACCTAAGCTTTTTGCATTTTCAGGAGATTAAGGTGCGGAGCATCGTGGAAGACGAGCAAGACGAATTCAGGAATTCTACGGCGCATGGTTAGTCGTTGAGGTAAGGGCCCACTGGTTTATTTCCGAGGTCACCTGTCACCTAAAGGAGCTGTTGTCAAGCTGGCAGCCTTGTTGAGCGACTTGTAGAAATTTTTGACTCCTCATCATTGAGTCGTCCTCAGCAGTCAAGCATCGCTCCGCTGGCTGTGAGTACCAAGATAATGTTCTTGGAAAGCAATTGGATTATTGCACATGCCGAGGAAATGGTACAATGTGCAAAGTTTGCACATGATCAGTGCCATAGAGCAAACCCCCCTGGCCAAACAGAGCGCTCAAAGCTAGAGGCATCTCAATCAAAGTGATAGTTGGTGTTTTATTGTACTTGTTCAGTTTCCTTTAATAGGTGGATGCACGTTACTCAATGGCAGTGTAAAATGGTCGCAAAGCTTGGGAGCTGTGAGCGCTGAACACCCCTTGCTAACGTTGTCTCCTTCTTTGGATCCTGTTTGAAAGTCGCGCAACATATGGCATCGCCTCAGGTCACATGCATCAGCTCTCACAGCTGTCAGGACTGTCCAAGTTTTGTGGGCCCCCTTCATCTGCTTCAAGTTTGCGCCCATTGCTAGTAAAGGCATCAAACTTACAATGCTCACAACTTGAAGAGCTTGTTTGAGATCTGGCTTTGAGCCATCTGACCGCCTCCGGCAATTGGACAAACTTTCTGCTTTTTCTTCCTCGTCATTGTGAGTGCTAAAGTCTCAAACAAGGACTCTGGCTTCTTCTTCGTTGTCCCTGTTTAGAGGGGAGCAACTCAGTTGAGACTATCTGAAGTTTCTTCAGGTTTGCCCCATGTCACTGACTTGACTCCTGGATGGGGTACCCAAACGTGTGTGAGATGTTGTGTGAGATGTTTCGCAGATACTTATGCCTTTCAAAGGTCCAGCACAGATTTTTTGCCCAAGATTATCATACTTGTTCAGCTTTTGTGGTGGTGGGTGCATGAAGCTAACATTGTTCATTGTATCTCCTTAGGAGGTTTCGTTAAACGTGGTGCCTTCAGGGGCTACTTGGAGCCTGATGTGCAGTTGGCTTTTGATGCTGCTGCCAAGCAAACATTGAAACGTTAAGAGCAACGCTTTAAGGAGCTACTAGTGAGATCCAAGGACTCCCCCTACAAAACGCTCTTTGTCTCTCCTCCGTGCATCTCCTCTGTGCGGCTGGTTGGTGCTGATTGCCTTTACCTGTCTTCGCTGCAGATTCTCGGCAACGTGAACCCCCAAGTTACTTACTGGGCACGGCTTCGATCTGTCTACTGACTACACCACTCACAGTCTTCACCATGATTCGCCCGGTGGCGCCAGAGGACACGCCCACTCTTGTAGCCACGGCTGCGGCCACTGGCTTGTTTTCTCATGATGAGGCGGAGGGTTTTTTTGGGGTGCTGTTGGACGACCTGCACGCAGGACGGCTAGGAGATGGTCATCTTGCTCATGCATGGGCTAATGAGATTACAGGCAAGATAGCCGGGTGGGTATACTTTTCACCGGAGAAACATGCGGAGACAGTTTGGCAGTTGTGGTTCATTGGAGTGGACCCCAGCTGGCAAGGACGGGGAGTTGGCAGTGAGCTGCTCCAAGATGTTGAGTCCCACGTCGTAAGGGCAGGGGGTCGGCTCCTTTTGATTGAAACAAGCTCGTTGCTTGACAGGACTCAATCGTTCTACACTAAGCGGGGCTATACAAGGTGTGGACAAATACCGGACTTCTATGCAGATGGGGATGATAAAGTAATATTTGTGAAGCGGGTGAAAACCGAGTCGTCGTGAGCATAATGGCCCAACAAACCGAGCTTGGTTCGTACTAATTGCCTGCAGTTTCAAATTCAATGGAGCCATCTATGTCCTACCAAATAAAACAGATTTTCCTTCAATGGATTCCTAGCCAACTTTTTGCGATTTTTGCGTTGTAGGAAAACACGAGAACTCTTGTCAGTTTGGGTCGATCGTGATCCTGCATCTAGATGCTCGGGATCGGTGGTCACGTTCTTCAAGTTGTGGTGATCAGCTTGACAGACTCCGATTTTGATCATGCAATCGTGGGATCGTATATATGCCTTCGGTCATGAGGCAATGATGATGATGATGAGGCGCATCCTAAGACGTTGACCATCAAAGCATGACCATTGGGCCGATCGCGAATGGGCTTGAATCCTTGGGCCTGCATGGCATCATGTGGGTTAGTACCATGCCCATGTCACTTTAACCAGGCTACTACAGTAGCATGCTCGGAAGTTGCGTTTGGTAAGTAGATCTTGCACAGTGTCGTTCAAGCATGAGCACGAGAGCATTGCCGGGACTCCAGTACTAGCTCGGAATCATCCAGATATCCATTGCCGCCGGGGTCCATACGTCTACTAGTAAGCCTTTGGGAATAAAAGATTGGTGCCAGATATTGTTCTCGAAACTTGGCCCCAGGTCGCGCGATCGTAGAAGGGCGTCATCATCGAAAGACTCTCAGATAATGAATTGAACGCCAGGGATCAATGCTAGGAGCTAGGTTTGGACTAACGTAGCCCCTTCGAGATTGGTAGGGTAGTTAGGCGTTCGAACCTCAAACATCAAGTCCCATGTATGCCATGGAAGCCTATGGCCCATGTGGCTACGGCGTTTTGAAAAGAGAACATCAAAGGTACCGTTCATACCGTACTGCCTAGTCCTAGTATTAGTAACAGAAGACCCAAAGACCATTGTGATTCGAATTGCTGAAATGATCTGGAGAAGTAATAGAAAGCAGAAGGGACCGCCATGTGTCCAGCCTCAATGATCGGACGGCTCAGCGTACTCGCATTCGAGTCGCCGTCTGACATTTCGATCACCAGAAAGGCTGGGTCCTGGCATGCGAGTCGTGACATTAGGTATAAGAGCAGCAGAGCAGCACGTACACTGCTCAAGCTGGCACGTCCAGTACACTGTACAGCCGGTAGTTGGCGGCTGCGTACAGCTGTATATGGGCCCATGCATGTCATTCCTATGTCATTATAACAACGTGCATATCATTGCTGCCTTCCTCCGATGTCTCCCCCGGCTCTGTCGGCCAGTTGAAAAAAAACTTTTGGAGCAGAGATATATACTGAACGATATCAATCTCCTCATCGCAGCCCTCCCTGGCAAGCTCGTGCCACTGTCCGTAACCTTTTGCCTTCTCTCTGTCCTCTGCTCTTTCTGCCGCGTAAAGTTCTATTGGTCATGGGGCCAGCTACCAGGTCGAAGCGCGCCAATGAGCCAAATAAGGAGCAGCCGGACTCCCTTGGCATGCTCATGCGAGGTAGGTGTGCTCCAGGTAAAGTGAGCTGGCAGGGGCCAACGCCCACCAAAAGATACGCTACTTGCTTCACAGTGGGCAGGTGCCGTGCTCGGGCATGGTAGGGCTCAGGGCTGAGTATGTGCGTTGCTTGGGACTGCAGCTGCAGTCTCGGCGTGCATGCTTGATGATCCTTGGCTTTGGCTCTTACTTTCTGGGACGCTGGTTCAGTGTTAACGTGGCTGTTTACATGCAACGGTCTGCAGTCATTGGCATCATTGTTGCACTGGGTTGTGTTCTGCGTTCTCTGTTGACCCCCAGCTGATTTTGTCCAGAGTTGATCTGGTTCAAGCTGTCCTTCAAGGCTTTGACTTTACCACCTGTGGCTATCTTTCTTCAGTTAGTGAGGTCAAGTGTCAGCTCATCAAAGTGTGCTTCAATAGCACAATCCAGCCGTGTGAACTCATGCATGCACAGAACGTCTTGAGCCCGATAGCTGCAGCCCCTCCTCAGAAAGGATCGCAGCCATATCCAACAATACAGTGGCGCTGCGCACTTCACTTCAAAAATTTCTACAGGGCTTCTGGTCAAATCTGCTCTGATGCCAGATGAACAATGTGGACTCCTTGTCCAAGGAGTTCAGCCACTCTCTGTGGGAGAGCGCGGGGCTTTGCTCTCTGACCCCTCGCGGTATCAGGCAGCACATTTACCATGCCTATGTTTGGCGCTGATGGTTCACGCACCAGGGCGAATTGTCATTGGGCTGCCCCCTCATCAGAGCTGGGGTTCTGGATGCAGATGAGAAGCGGCGGGCAGGTGCGCGCACGCACGGGGACATCTGGCAGGAGCACCGGAAGCCCTCTTCGAAAGCGGACACGACAAGCAAGAAACGAAAGAAGAGTGCTGAGAAGAAGGCAGCAGAGGAGACGGGCGAGGATGACGCCTTCAAAGTTCTGCAAGCAGGTGATGCCCCCTTCAGCAATGACGCGCAGGCTGGGCACCGCTTTTGAGCTCTTGGCAGCAATCCATTGATTCCAACTTGTGCCCAGGAACCTTGGTGCGCTGGTAAGTGGGGAAGTGAGTTGTCTGCTTCTGAATCAATCGAGTTTGTGTGGCGAAACATTGGACGACCTTGAACATTGTGCAGAGCAGAAAACGAAGACGACAAAGAGGAAAAGCGGAGAGCCTTTCGAGGAAAAGAAAGAACCAGCAAAGAAGGCGCCAAAGCGAAAAAGCGAAGAGCCTTCGAAGGAGAAAGAAGAGCCACGAAAGCGGGCGCGGAAGGATACAGAGACGAAGGACGAACCGCAGGAGAGAGACACCAAGTCTGCCGAAGGTAAAGACTGCGTCCTCGATTGCTGACGAATTCGACTAACACAGTCAGTGAACACTATCAATGTTCGAGTGCTGACCCACGAGGAGCATCAGTGACCACATGCTGAAATTTTCCTCTTAACGAGCCGTCAATCTAGTTATCTAGTGTATTTTCATTGGTCAAACAAGTGAGTTTTTTCGTAACATCTTCTATGCACTGACTTTCTTGAGTCACAGTTTCACCCCTTTTTCCACTCCCTATGGCAGAGCCCGGTGCAAAGGCGGCTCCCGACAGCGGGGACGCCAGTGGGCAGCAGGGCGGCGGTGGGGCGGTGAGCGGGGTGGTCACCATCAACCGGGCCCCGACCCTGACGCTCTGGGTTGCGACGGTGGCGGAGAGGCAGGGGTACAAGGCCGAGGAGGCCCTTACGTTCGGCAAGTACGTCTCGGGGGTGTTTGCGCAATCAAAAGGTGAGGCAGAGCTTCGCCTGCCACACATCGCGACCAAAGGCCCATGCGCGGAGTTTTCGTGAAAATGCTGATTGTGACACTGTCGAGCTTTCATCAGCTTGTCTTGGAGACGCACGTTGGGCAAGAACCGTTGACCCATGACGGCTGGTAGAGCAATTCTGGGCTCCTCTCTGAGCAACCTCCACGCGAAATCTATCTGGCCCCTCGACCTTCACTACGTGACGCCTTCTTTGACCACTCTGCCGCTATCTAGTAAGTCGTTCCCTGGCAAAGAGCGACTCTCGTCCTAATCCATTGATCCTGTCTTTAAACATTCTCGGGTCACGGATTCGCGGCCAGACCCATTGTCTTCATATGACCCAAACTTCCTGCTTTCTTCTGCACAACTGTTCGGCTATCGGCTGACGCCAGGCCGCGCTCCCGTGTGTGCAGGCAAGTCGATCGGCGTGATCGAGGCCGACCCCGAGAAGGAGGCGCAGGTCAAGGAGGCGAAGCGGGAGCAGCGGCGCGGGCTGGACAAAGTGCCGGTGTTCGGGATGAATATCACCGTCAAGAAGACGCCCGAGGGCCAGGTGCGCGCGCTGGAGGCGGGCGGGAAGCCCATCGAGCCGCGCACGGTCAAGGCGTACCTGCACCGCGCGTTCAAGGACAGGCTGGACGACGCGCAGAGTGAGCGGCAGCAGCGCGAAACTGATTTCCTTCGTCGAGGTCCGTGACCATCTTGGCGAGCGGCTGGTATTTGTGACGTTTCTCTTTGATTCCCGCGTGCCCAAGGCTCTTTTGGCCGTTTGGATTGGCTCTCAGGTTCGCGGCCCGCTTTTGGATGCGCTGGCGAGATTGAGAGCAGGTTTGATTTCCAGGAGTGTATGCGTGGCTGCTCGACCATTTGGTGAAGAACGTCCTTGCTTGGGCCATCCTGTCCTTGCTTGGGCCATCCAGGATTCGCGCGAATCAGTCTGTTGTGAGGGCAGCTGGTCTTACAGATAAGCCCTGTTCTGCTGACGTCAGCCGATGATTGTTTTGCCGCAGAAGCCATGGAGGCTCTGGCCGCGGCGTACCCCGCAGAGGAGGTTGGGAAGAAGGCGTACCACTTGTACGAGCGGTTCCGACCGACGGTACCGCAAGGCAAAAAGGGGTGGGGAGGGAAAGGCGAGCTAGACCTGGATCTAATCTCAAACAAGATGGTGCAGGAAAGCTCAGCGAGAGGCTGAGAGCACTTTACGGTAAAGGAGTGTTGTACATTGGTGTACATACTGTATATGACGGCCGTCTAGGTTACAATTTGTACATTGAATCTGGATTTACGTTGAGTTGCATTCAAGTTTTCCTAATGAAAGCCGCAGAGAAGTGAAGTCCGTTGTGCTACTGAGACTTGTCTCAACAAGATTGCGGGTATAACGATCAGCCTGCGGGCCTGGCTTACGTCTTTCTTTATGCGAAAGTCAATGTCGCCTGGCCAGCTTTGATCATCTCGAATTTGCACGGCGGTTGGCTTCTCTGCCAAGGGCAAGCCTCAGTGATTGGGCGCCTGCGCTGCATGTACATGGGGCCATGAACATGGACATACAGCAGGCTTTGTTAAAGCTCATGCATGACAGGCCATGGACCAACCATGAATCGTCCTTCGGACAGGTTTCGTAACACATGGTACTGACAGAGAAAAATAGAGAACTTCAAAGCGATACTAAGCGACACGCGCAGCCAGTGTGCCGTCATGGAAATCAATAGATTTTCAACACATGTCATGGAAAATGCGCCTAACAATACCGAGGCATGCAAGCCGCGCGTCTCAAAAGAGCTTCTCAACATTGGGACGATGGTAGCACGCAACCGTTACCAGAGATCATCAGATATCAATCGGCGCGTTGCCAAACCCCCGCTACTACACACCGCATTGCGTGACCAACTTGCAGCATGCTTGCGCTCCGGTTTCGGCAGCTCAGCTTCAAGAACTACCCGTCGACAATCAATCCATAGGTGCAACATACACGTGGAGCTGAGCATGTTAGGATCGACAACAAAGCTTTGTCGCTAAACTCAATCTAAATGGTGCAGATTGACTCTTTGCCACGGCTGCCAATTGCTGTACGGATCCAACTGATTTACCGTATGATCAGCTTGACAGGCTAAGTTCACGAGCCTACAATTTGACAGTGAGTCAGAGAGTGACAAAACGTAAGCAGAAAAGGCGAACCCGGGCTTTTGGTCGTGCCCCCTGCTTAGATTGAATCTTCTCAACTGTATACAGGGGTTGGAATTTTTGATTGACTAGTTGATTCCAATAAACCTGGAGCATCAATAGACGGGGCAGACCGCCCTCTGCGAGACTGATCATTGTCTTACTTTTGCACAGACTAGGCCTAGTTTTGCTCTATATTGACAGGCGAGTAGTACCTTTTCTTGCTCCGGTGTCCACGGAAGCGCCCCTGTTGACGCATGCTGCAATCCCTTGAACTTCAGTTCCAGGAGCCTGCACACGAGCATTCTCTTGATGTCAGCACGAAAGCGGACCTGGAATCAGCGCCACGGTGACAGAAAAGTTCGGAAGAGGCATGTTCGAGCTCAACACCACTTACAAGGAACATCGAAGAGCAGCTCAGAAGCGAGCAGGATTCCAAGACGTTAATCACAACGGTATCCGTTCGTATGCATCAAGGCCTGTTTTGGATGAAACAAATTCGAACGTTCGTGGTTACAGGTTCAATCATAAAAAGTTGCTTTCCGCAGGCCTGCTCCGCCCCGGCTTACTTGCGCACGGCAGGCGTATCCCCATGCCCTGTGGCCACGATGAGCAGCGCGTTTGGCGGGAGGCCCTGGTACACGGCATGCACGCGCGCATCCAGCCGCTGCAGCACGGCCTCCAGCGCCGCTGACACCGGGGGGACCGCCACGTCCGCCCCGCTCGGGCTGCACGTCAGCAGGGCCGAGATGGCGGCGATAGAGGCCGCCACCGCGGTGGGTGTCCGAGCCATCTCTGCACAGAGGCAAGCAGGCGAGGGGGTGAGGACACTCATCAAGCAGGCTCCAATGGTTGTCGCCCCAACCAGAACAAGGTGCGCGGACAAAGACAGCCGGCGGCTGGGGCCGTAGAGCTTGCATAACAACGTACATGCATCTGCTTACGGGTTGCAACACCAGGCAGTGCTGCGGCTTGTCTGGCTGCGGGGCGTTACCTTCGTGGTGGGTGGTCAGCTCTGCGAGGCGCGCCCAGAGGAAGCGCGTGGCGGGGGTGTGCGCCTCCTTGCGGACCTTGGCCACCACCTCGTCGTCCGACTCCGCAATCACCGCACCGGACGTCCCCACCGCAAACCGGCGCAGCAGCCTGCAGCACAAATTTGAAACGGTTGGTAAGAGGCGAAGGGAGTCGGCCATGTTGCGAATCAAAGTATGCGATAACAATGGGCAGCAGGCTTTGAGCATCGGTGCCCAGCAAGCAATCCCGCCGTTTGCGAGAGAGAGCCGTGATGGGAAACAAGCAACGCCGCGTACCTCCTGCGGTCAACCAGCGTGCAGCGCTTGCCCTTCCTGCCCAGCAGCTCGATCAAGCTCTCTCCTATGATCGCCCGGGCCTCCCCGAAAGAAGGGCCTGCACAGGAGGGTGGGTATCCAATAACGCTCAGCGATTTGAAGCTCACAGGGAGGTGAAAGCCGACTCGGCAAAAGGTCACCTCCAGTGACAGCAGGACTCAAGCTTGACCGCGCCCAAAGCATTTTCTGACCCGAACAAAACAAACTCCGCGAACCCCTTAAGGACTGTAAGCGGAAGGATCGATGTCGCAGGCAGCAACGAGAGCAGCAGTGGGGATGCGCTTACCGTTCTGTATTTTGAGCTGCGCCAGCTCCATGGTCGCCCGCGCGTCCTCCACGCTGTCGTGGCCCTTGTCGCCCCCCTGGATTGTGCGGTGCAAGTGGCGCTCTGCCAACACACGCAGCGCGGGCTGCAAAAATGAAGAGACAGGTGACGGAAACCGCGAGGAAGCATCAAAGGAGCTCAACGCAAATCCGGGTAGTGTCGCTGCAAGTGGCGAACCGAGTCATGGTGCGGTTCGAAGAAGTAGACGAAGTTCGGCGGATGCTCCTATTAAGTGGGGCGGTTGTTCGCATTAGTTTGATCGAGGGCACCGTTTTCGTGACACTCCCGTGGAGCTTGTTCGTTCTTTACAGCATGAAAAGAACTTCTCGACTGCTTGCTTGGCGGCTCTTTGCAACGAAAGAGGCGGCTGCTAGCACGGCCAAACTCTGAGCAATGAAGAAACGATCGACGAACAACCCCAAGAGGCCGGTGTCCGTCGATCTCATGTGAGAAGTATGACAACGATGCTGTAACCTTGACTGCAATTGAAAAGAGGGACACACGTGTATCGCGTAGCCATCTGGGTGGTCCTCTATCGGATCGCTGACGTGCCACAGCATTTACCGTCCTTGTCTCTGGCAAGCAGCGGCAGTGAAACCGGATCCCGCAGCGCAGACTGAGATGGCAAAATGTTGAGAATCACCTTGTAGGGGGGTCCACGGGGATGTGGAAACGCCAGCGCGGTGTCAATGTTGTTGCCGTGTATCAACTGCGGTGCAGCAGCGCAGGGTCAGCCTTCCGCAAAAAGCAGCAGAGGGGGATGCACCAAAGCACAAGGCAGGCCGGAGCGTGCGCTCCAGGGGGCGCCTTGGTGTAGGTCAGAAACCCCCGATGCAATGCACGAAGGTATATATTGGGATGGGCGACAGCGAGGGGGACACGGGGCAAGCCGCTGAGCTAAGAGCGGATGCGCACCTTGAGGGCCTGCAGGTCGCTCTGCAGGGAGTGGCCCACCAGAATGGTCTCCGCGCTCACCAGCTCCAGCAGCTCTGCCTGCCAACACAACACGTCAGCACCGGCCAGGCGTGCACCAACACAGCTGCGATGACACACAGCTGACATGGAGAAGCAAGTCGCTTGCAAACCTTGATGACAAGGACACTCGGAAGAGATTGGACGGAGTAACAGCCGGGCGGCATCACCTGGATGTCCTGCAAGGTGGTGGTCACGTCTTGAAGCATCTCGGCCGTAATACCGCTGAACCTGCAGTGAAGACGAAGTCAAGCCGGTCAAAAGAGCACCAAAGCAGGATCCTCATCGTTACACCGGCTTCGACTCCTCCAGCTGTTACGAGCAAGCTTCCGACCTGTCTGCACAGCCGTTGCAAGGTCGTGTAGGAGAAGCAGCTCGTTCACCAGCAGCAGAGGCCCGCAAACACAAAGGAAGGCTGTCCACAAGCCACCTAGGGCCGTGACCTTTTGCTAGGCTTGACTTCTGCAGCCTGACCAGGAAGCCGGACCACAATGATTGGTCGGACGCAGAATAGCAGGACCCGTTCGAAAGACAACGGCGTTGGTGGATGCTCACTTGGTGTTGTAGTCGCGGATGGGGTTTGTGGGCTTGACCAGCTTGTCCAGCAGCACCTTGCCCTTGCCCGACACCAGCGTCACGCGCGTCAGCTCCAGCCCCGCCTCCGTGTAGCACTGCACAGCACACACGCAGCCAGGCGGCTCAGCCAATGCGATACACGTCTGACAAAGCACGGCTGTGTCGGAGAGGAGAACCCACACATGCAAGTGGTGGTAAGCTTGCAGCAATCAGCTTGTGACCAGGTGGACTTCGAGCTATCCCTACTTTCTCAAACCCTTTCACTAAAAGACGGCACCCGGTTCTCACCATTTCGCAGTCCACTGCCACCATGGGCTGCCGCTTCTTTGTACCTGCCAAGTCTACTGCAGGCCGCGTCTGTACAAAACCTGCACAGTCAAGGTGGTCGTCAAGTTAAAGGTGAAAAACGCAGATTGTCCTCCTGCTTGCGCCTCAGTTATAGACGAGAGTCAGGCACCCGCCTCCTCAACTGCTGATCTTGAGTAGTCCACTATCATGAACCAAAATCGTCGAAACATGTTCCAGTCAAGATTCCAATCGGCTCGTCCCCAGATCCGGACAGAAGTGCAAGCCCTACCTGGCGGACAAGTCGGTGGATCCCCTGGTATGACTGTTGGATACTCGTTGTCCCGCATCTCTGTTTCTGTCAGCACGTAATAGGAGGGGGGGAACGGAGGAGGACCGCTGTTCCTCCTCCTCGAAAAAACGGGGGCCCCACGAGCTGCACCAGCCTTCGCCCCCGCTCCTTGCCCTGCTTTCACATCAGCTGCCTCAGACGTGCTTGCTTTCTCAGAAGAACCCTCCACGCCATTCCGTTCGTCTGCTGCCGGCGTCCCTACGCCTTCCCCTGGAGCTGGCCCCACTTCTCCGCTCTCTTGTTGGTCTGCGCCAGCTAGTGACGACCCTTCTGGTGGCTCTGCTGTGGTTCCTCTCTTCCCACTGCCCTGCTCCAACATGTCAGTAATCTCGCCCTCCTCTGTTGCTCCACTCACTACACTTTTGCCCTCCACTTTCTGTCTCTTCTTCTGAGGTTCTGCGACCTGGAGTGCCGGTTCAGCTGTAACTGCCCCTTTCCCGTTCACCGCTGTGCTAGCTGGCGGAGGCTTCTCCCCTGCATCCCCCAGCTTGCGCTTTTTGACCCCAGGCAGAGACAGCAACACGCCGGCCGCACTGACCACGTCCGCTGTGGGCCTGAGGAAGCAGGTCAGGCAGCTGAGGCAGCGGAAAATAGTTTACTTGTGTGCTTCTACTATGCAAACTGGCAGCAATTGATACTTTGATATTCTACGGAGTGCATCTTTACTAAAATTAAGGCAACGCGACTGACATGCAATCACTCCCGCATACATCAGAACCAGTCATCGAGCGGGATTGTCAACAGGCATTGATATCAGTTTCCTCTTGGCCAAGATGTCACCGATTACTTTCGTGCCATTTTGAGAATAGTGTGAAGACACGCTCCCACATAAGTCAACGGCCTGACGAGGACACGAAGCACCTATTGTTCTTCGAAGGATGCACGGAGAAGCTACTGGACTTCGGAAACAACACTGCAAGAAAGCTAGATTTATTCAGACCGGAAAGCAGGAACTTACTCGAGCCCCCCGGCAACTCGATGTGTGCCAAACGTGGTCCGGATGTTGGGAAAGAGGTCTGGCCTGGCGGAAAACAGAACGGGGTCCAGGCCCGCGGCATACAGCAGGACCACCTTGGACACGAGAGGCTTGTTCTTAAGGAAAACCCAGGGAGGCATGATGCCGTCCGCCAGCGTCCACGTAACCAAGCCAGACACATCCTGCAGCAGTCAATAACAACGCTCAAGTTGCGAAATACGTGTGCAAATGGAGCGCAGATATCACTCGAGGAACCACTCAATACCCTCACTTGAAGCCGTTGCTGAAAGTGTGGTGTTGCAGGAAAATATCCGAGGAGTGCCTGGTTCCAAATAACCCTAGCACTGGGGGCCAGAACCTACTCACCTGAAGTCGTATCAGCTGCTCTGAGCGCGCAGGAGGCTTCAGTTCGATCTCTGCTCGAGCCTGCATGCACCACTTACGGATTAGAAGACAAATTGAGTGCTCACCAACTCGCACTCATATATTGTTGAATCATCGTGCTGATCTTAAGAATAGACATCCTATGCTTTTGAGTGACAAACAAACTAAAAGCTTGGTCAGACTAAGTATTGCAGAATGGTTGTTGAAAGCTTCCCACAAATCAGTCTTCTAATCCGGATGAAAGCCTCACGTTAGGTCCATACACGTCGTAGTAGTCACTCATTGTACCCTTCCCTTGTTCCACCAGCTTTGCTTTCTTCTTTCGTTGACGTCTCTTGCTTCCAAGTCGAGCAGGAGCTGCAAATGGAAAAAATGGTCCAGAGATCAATGGACAAGCCAACTGGCATGTCTTAAACCTTGTTGCACTTCAAGAAGTTCGTTGTAAAGGCTGGTCCACAAGGAGGAATCCCATGTTCATTCACTGGCATTCAGGGCGGGTGAAATATTAAGCAGCAACAGCATTTCAGCACCGCACCATTACCAGCTTCTCCAATATCGGAGCCCTGCAAGCAATGCCAAAGTATAGAAACGCAACTTGGGGGTTTGAGGACTTGATGCTTGGTGGTGCGGATCAGCCCTGTAGTATGTCATTGACTGCACATATGGTTTGTTGACACTGAGAACGTCGGCGCTAAGCAAAACCCACCTTGAACACTTGAATTGGTGGCTTGCCCCATCTCAAATGTTTGCTGCGGAACAAACTCCCCTTCTTCAATCTCTCCATCCTCCTTTTCGGCCCCTGCACCTAGCAAGCCCCTGTAGTTGATTGGCACGTCCATCAGTAAGCTCTCCTAAGAGGAACAGGTCTCCACCCCTTCTCTGGCACCTACAGATCAGTATTTACTATTGCCCCATTGTCGCCCTAGTCACTGTCAGCGCGTTCACGTATGAAGCCCCAGCTCCTTTCAGCTAGGCAGGCAGAGTTCTGGGCTCAAGCTCAGTGCTTCAGGAACGTCTCCGCTTCCAGCCTTGCAACCAGGCGTGGAGCAGAACGGAAAGAGCTCAAACCTGCATTTCGCGGCGACGTGATCGGAGCCAACATCTTTTTGATGCTTGACGACTTGGTAGTAAAGGTCGCTCGAGCTGGCGGAGCCGTTCCGGTAGCATGGGAGCGGAATATCACTGAAGTTCCGCTCTCACACCCTTCCCCAGCTCTAGCTGATCTTCCTGTGCCATGCAATGGCATCTTCCCCACTTCGCATTTCAACCTGCTTCACGTCTTGGACACCATTGGCGTTTCCTTCAAGTGGCATCAGTTGTACTAGTAGCAATTGCATCGGCAGCGGGCACCATTTTAATGAAGCTCCTGACCTTTCATGATTGTGCTTTGTAAGAAAGAAAACTGGCGATCTGCCACATACAGGAGGAGACATGATTCACGGCAGCTCCAGTTGCCCTCGGTGTTGTGCAACTTTTCATGCTGCATTAGACGAACGCCCAGCTTGGATTGAAAGGGTGCGCCAGGTTGACGCTCCGAAACAGACTCCTTGGAGTAGCCACGTTCAGAATGTAGATGATGTGGGTTCCAAAAGTGAATGTGCCCAGGTTTCAGCCCAAATCAGCCTCCGGTGTCCACGTTGTAAGGGCCAGCTGGCCTTTTGCGAGATCTGCGAGAAGCCCCTCCCAGTTCCAGTGGAGACGGAAGGGTGAGGATGCTGCCTTACTCGCATGTCCACGGGCTTGTTGGAAAAGGATTGCCCCTCATTGTTGCAGCATTCTGCAGCTGGTTTTCAGTCCAGCTGATGTCTGACATCCAGATGCCAATTCAGCGATATGCATGCCTAGGCGTGTGTGCGAACTGGATTGGTGACAATTGCAACCAAGGCCCTGGAGTAATGCAAATAACCTGGACCATGCAGGCCTTCCAAGTGCAAGACATGTGGCTACCCTGTTCACTTCCCCACGGATACTGGCATCACCGCAGCTCCGCAGAGACTTTCTGCTGAGCAGGTAACCAACGTCTATCCTCGTTGACAACATCCGTTTTGTGTCACAAGCATTGTCGAAAGGTCCTAGTGCCTTCCCCGAATCAACGATGTTGACCAACTGTGACGCCAGCTCAGCTTTCTTGCAGGTCAGGCGCATCCAGCTGTCTCTCTGTGGCAGGAGGTCGTACTATGCGACAAAGCAAGTTGAGCTTGGGCGCCTCAGCCAGGTGGGTGGTGGGCCAGGCAACACCAATTCTGGAGGCCGTTAAAGAACAAGCTTTTGGTCCAGCCTCCTCATACGAAACCTTCTGTTGCATTAGAGCTAGCCTATGTGATAGTAGTGCCAGGCTGTTGTCCTCGCAGTATCAGGTGTTTCCTGATCCGCAGTCTTGTACAATTGCCTGGTCACACTACCACCAGCTGGAATAGTGATGCAATAAAAAGTCATGGAACTCCATTCCATTGGCTGCTAATCCCTTCCACTTTCACAGGCATACGCTGAGCTGCGGGCGCCAGCGACCACCCCACTACTGCTGGGGCCACCTTTGGGAGATGGCCTGTCTCTTGGAGACATCAAGACGCCTGACTTTAAGTCATATCTGGCACCGCACCCGGCCGAGCTTGGAGATGGTGCTACAGTGTTCCCGTTACATCGCAAGCGGAAGGATGGCTCTCTGAGTGGTGCGTTGAATGACAGCAACAAGAGCGCCACGCCTAGCAGTGACGAGAAGCGGAGCACAAGCTCCGACATCCGTGGCCGGGGCGCCCCAACGCCCATCACGTCTGTGTCTGCCTCGGGCCGCTTATCGCACCCTCCCATCAAGCGTCGGAAACTCGAGCTGCAACCCCCGCCCTGCACAGTGGCCTTGCAGGGCGGACACGGGGAAGAACAGCCACTAGGTCCGGGTTCCGGCATCTCTCTGTCGTTCCGGTCTGGTAAGTCGGGCCACCCTTTCCAAGAAACAAACGTCGCGGCAGCTACCGGGAACACCCTTCGTGCGACAGAAGGGGTCGGAAACGAGGGGGTCCTGGGGGTGGGGAGCAGTAGTCAGGACCTTGAGCACCATACCCCCCCAGATGCAGCGGAAGATCGGGTGGGTCAGGAAAAGGGCCTCGAGGAGCTGAGCAGCGGGGGGCACAGCAGGGTGAATGCGCGGGTGGGGGACGACAGCGGGAGCGGGCAACATGCAAGCCAGGAGCCGAACATCGAAAGATCGAGACCAGCGGATGCTGTTAAGATGGCACGTCGAGAAGAGTACGTCGGGAAGCCGAAGTCCAGGGCGGAAGCTGGGGTTGCATCTGGAAGTGAGGACCCAAGCCTAGAAAAGCAGGGGAAAGGGGAAGCTCCGCGGTGTGCGTGTACGTGTAGAGAGGGTTCTGAGGCAGCATGCCGGCCCTGCCGTCTGAGGGAGGTGGAGGCCGCTCTGGTGCTGTGCCGCTACCAGCTGCTGTGCCTCAAGTGCCCGGCTACCGAGGCGCAGGAGAGGGACGCACAAGCACGCCCCGCTTTTGACCTTGCGGACCTGGCGCTGCTCAGAGCACGCCTGGGGGCTCTTGCAACAGGGGGGGACAGCGAGCAGGGAGGCTGCTGCAAAGCTGTGCTGGAGGGGGCGGAGCGATTCTTGGAGCAAAGGCCGGGTCTGCTCCATCTCAGGGTAAGGTGCCGGAGTGCACTGGTCGAGTCGCTCAAATGATTAATCGGCCCACACTTGGACTTGCCAACACGCTAGTACAACAATGGTTCGGCATCTTCTCCTCCTCAACATCAGTTCAACATCAGTTTCTGTGTACAGATCGAAGTCAGACCCTTCGCTCTTGTGACGCTGATAGTTGATGCAATCTCGCTTGTAACGCAGTGATTCTTGTTTCCCTTATGCAGGAGTTTTCGCAGGCAGCAGGAAAGGCGAGCCGGCGCAGCTGCGCAGACCTGGGTGCCTTCAGCCAGCAATACCCCTCTCGCCCATTGGTCAGCCATCTTTGCTTCTCCGTATTTCCGCTATCTCATGCCGTACAAGTTGTCGTTCAGCCCAGTCAAGGGAGTGAGGGAGACAAGTGGGGCTTGTTTACAATTGAGATGATTGAGGTTCTGATTGCAAGTAGGGCATCGGCAAGCTTCGTCTCGGATCGAGCAAAGTACCAACGGCAATACGGACGGCCTTCGCTGTCGAGAAGTTCAGATTTTCGATCATGCCTTTCTGCTTTCGATTTTCGCTGCGACCCTGAATATCGAGGAATCCGGAAAAGACAACGGCGAAGCTTTCTGGACTCTTGTGATATTCGCATTGGCGTATGTGTAGCTTCAACGGGTGGAAAGGGAACTTCGCTCTTGAAACGGACATCGATGTGAATCAGATGTTCCTTCATGCCCGCAACCTGGCCAACTCGCGAATTGCACAAACGCACTAATTACGTCGGAGGGCCGTCCTTTTAGTCTCGCCACGGAAGCTGTTAGACATGTGCGAAAGGCTCGGTACAAGAGCTGTTCGAGCCTGGTCGCGTTGACTTCGAAGGGGCTGAATGCGTATCCGCCCGTAATTGCAGGCTGGCCTCCGAGCGCTGAAGTCACTCCTTGACGAGAGGAGCACTGATGCTCACGCACGTGCCAGGGCTGCCACGTCACCGTTCAGGGGCCTCCTGGTGACCATCTCCGACCAGGTCGAGGCCCTGCGGAGGTCCGGTGCGGCTGTCGGACAGTCAGGAAGTACGGGTGCGAGCGAGACCATAGGCCGATCGGTGTTCGCGGACCTGCAAGCGGTGGTTCGTGAAAGGGAAGCAGTAAAAACACTGCAGGAAGGAGAGCTGAGAGAACGGAGGCGATTAAAAGAGATTTGCGGGGACCTGAGAGAACTGTATCGAACTATCTGGTCAACCGTTGGAGGTTTGTAATCCGTTTGTCATCTTGCTCGCGGCCTTGCCAAGGCTCCGAGAAGCTTCAACGGACGTCTGGTCTGATAAATATGTCATGAGCTAGCACCGCCTCTCTGACTCGCTTCTCTTGCGGGAGCTTTGCAAGCTCAAGTGATGCACGCCGCACTGATGGAGCAATTCTGCATGAAATAATACCGTTGTACCTTCGAGGTCGCTACTTCGAACGAGTAATCTACGTGCGTACCCTGGTCGCAAAATTGAGCAAATTTAGGAATCCGTGATCTTGTGCAGCAAAGCCCTAAAAGGACAGGCCGGCCACACCTTGAGAAAAGCGTTAGCGCAGCTCTTCTGCAGCTAGGCCTGACACGTTCCGCAGAGCTCCTAACAGTCGATCTAGCTTATAATTCGGCCGGCCCACAACCAAACGGCAACGGCGCGCCATGATCCGTTTATATTCTAGAAAGTGTGTGCGCCAACTGTGGCGATCGACATGATCCGAGTTCCTCATTATATAAGGTTTGGCTATATTTTAACAAGGTCATGCAGCGCGCTGCATTATGCTGGACGTATCGTTGATCATCTTGATTCTCAAGTGACCAAGGGTCCGATCCTCCGCATGCCTATGTGCCAGGAATCTCAATGATCTGCGGAGCTATTAGATCGAGGACTCCGGCGTATGGAACAATCTAAAGTATGCGTAAGACTTCCTTTAAGGACAAAATTTGAACGAACATGTACTTCTTTCTCATTTGAGTAAGTCTCATTCTGAAGCTTCCCCTGTTCTGCTAAGGACCAGGCCTGTTGTTGCTAGCTCTTGGAACGGCCCGAGATTTAACGCATAACGCGCTCAAACGACCACTCGGCTACTCGCAGTTGACACTCATGCACTCCTGCCTCTGCGTTGGATTCAATCACGTCGTTACTTCTCCGTCACCCGGATCAAGATGCAACCAGGCCAGGTACTGGTAGGCACGTTCTCGCGCGGCCAAATGTTTGCTGCAAATCTGTACAGAAGATTACGCGCGCGCGCGAGCTGGCGAGCTACAGCGTCAAGGCGGCATATGCGGACCAACGGTGTGCCTAAGCTGGGCGGTTGTGAAGTGCTGCAACTTGCCCAAATTTGTGAATACAGCTCCTCCGAGTCGAGCGTCTGCGCCTTTCCGTTTACCTGCATCATGCACTTTGGAAACGACAGGCGCTCGCACGTGCTTATGGATGAACCTTGCCTATGCTTGCTCAGAATTCCAAATGTTACTCGATCTTGTGGATAAGACACCCTATCGTCAAGTAAAGTTTCCGTACGAGCCACAAGAAACATTCTTACCCAAGCCTTTGTCCAGGATCAAACTAGCAGTGCATGGCGTTGGCTTGCCGCTGCTTCCGAATGTCAAGTCGACTGCGGTGTCAGAAGTGCCGATGGCCATCGTGACGTGGAGGCAAACCGATCTGTCCACTTATCATGAGTTGCTGGCGGCTCAGAGGCGTCCCAACTCCCCTTGGGCTCCAAGCTGAGCTTGACAAGCTGTTCCCTCAGTACCCGGCAGGGAACTTCGAAGGCAACAAGGCCCCCCCGACACACCCGCCGCATGTGGGCGTGTTCCAGGCTGTCGCCAGTTCTGTGCATGGACACAACCGTTGGCCTTCGACGACTTGTGAGGCTCTTTCTGTCTGTAGTTCACTGCCATGCCCGCTACACCACTCGAGCAGCTCTGCAGTCTTATGGCGCCCGTTGCAGTGTCAAGACTCCAATCCAAGGGCTTCAGGAAGTTCTCATGTTACAGTCCAGGCCTTTGGATCCAGCCCATAGCATTAAGCGTCGTCTGCTCTACTTCTGTTTTCAAAAGCTCTAGTCGCTCGGCTGCGGAGTTGACGAGGTCGCGCATTGCTTTCGGAGGGGAGCCCTCCCACAGAAAAGCTGGCGGCTGCCATTGCGTTGGGGAGCATTCAGCTCGGACTGGTAGAAGCATCAAGGAAGCGAGTTCGCGCATTTGCAAGGGCAGTTTCAAGCGGAGTGAAGCTGTCTATCAAGCACGTGTGGTTTCGCCGGTCTTTCATCACGCGTCCCCCGCAGGCTGCGCAGCTCACGGACGACGTTCTCGCGGTGCAAGACAAGACCGATATGATGGAGACGGCCCAGGTAAAGCAGCCTCCGTGTCGCGATGTGTTCCTATCCGTTGCTCTCTGTTCATCTCTTAATGTGATTGCTTATCCTTCACATTTTGCAGGCTGTCCTTCAGGGTCTATTTTTTCAAGCCTCGTGATCTTTTGAGTAAAGATGAAGGGAGCGAAATTACAGTTCGAAAAGGAAACCCTTGTTAACAAATGCAGGTGGCAAAACAAATGATGATGTTTTCGCGAGAGAGGTTAATCAAAGAACATGGCTGTATTGAATATCTTGGCAAGAGATTCATAAGTTGATACATTCTTCGTTTGGCCAGAGTCTCCTCAACTTGCCAGCAACTGGTGATGTAGCTTCGTTTCAGGCACTGCTCTCCACCTGACAGCACGTAGCCTCTGAGGCGCAAGCCCACGTGCTCAAAGTTCTAACTTCATCTGGTTCCTGCGCTCGCAGCAACCATCCGGCCAGGAGCTAATTGATCGTGGGGTGCTGGTGAAGCGCATCGAGCAGGTGAGTTGGAGCACCAAGATTAAACCTCGCACACCGATAGATGCCCTGAGAAACGTTGTAGTAGCGCCAACCGCATTCCTCACGAACTTTGTCTCGTGATGCGGTTCTTCTATCAAGCCGATATCATTGTCAGGTTAGATGACCCTTTCCAAGGTGCACGGTGTGGATTTCGAGAACTGCTCTTGAATTAAGCCTGTCCAAGGGCAAAGCCGTGCGGAGAATACAGTCCCTTATGTCACAGTGTACCCGCACTTCAAAGGCAAGGAGGTGAAGTGGATTAGGTTGTTGTTTGTTCGACAGCCTATTCTTCTTCGAGAAATCTCCTTACTCCCATGAAAAAGCTCTCAGGATTGACTGTATGTGTCTGTCGATGTCGTATCAATGCGACCTGAAGGGGATGCGCTGAACTTTCAATCAATTACCTTTTCTTACTTTTCGGTCCACTATTTGGCCCGGCACATTTGCACATGAACTGACCTGACTCCGCCACCTTGCTTGCGTGCAGATCGAGCACCAGCTGAGCGACCTCGCATCGCAAGTCCCGACCACTCCCAAGTCGCCCCTGGACGCCCAATTCAGCGCCCCGGGCACCCCCCAGGCCGGGGCCGGCAAACCGGTGCCGCTCACCAAGCGGGTGGAGCAGCTCGAGGAGGAGCTCGCGGAAGCCAAGCACGTGAGGCTCACGTCGGAACGAACCGTTGGATGTGCCTCTGTCTATCGAAGATCTTGAGTCCCACAAATGGAAAGTGTACCTCGAAAGAATGAAACTGGACCTAGTTGGCACTGTCAGAACGAGAACAGTCCAAAATTTCAGGAAGGTACATGTGTAGATATTTTATGGCTGCCATGTGCCCCGCCACTAGTGTTTTGGCCGGGATTGATAGAGACCTTCTCTGACTATTGAAGTGTGACTGTCAGCACCTTAAGCTTCGAAAGGCCCTTTTACTTTCCCCCGGTCGTACGCTCTTTCTGACGCCTTCGCTTACGTTGCTGCCCGTGCAGAGGCTGGCGGAGCTGGCCCCCCCTCCCAGCGGGTGGGAGCGCCCGGGTGAGCCCGGGGAGCAGGTGCCCGCCCGCGAGCGCCGCCCCGCCAGGCGAGCCCAGCAGGAGGCCGAGTGAGCAGCGCCTCTTCGAAACTCTCTCCTGATGACGTCAGTCTATGCTAGAGGGGTTGTATTGTGGGTGGGCGCTCAAAAGTCGGTCTGAAGATTTATCTGGTTTTTGAAGCAGTTGAAGTGCGGGCAAGCTTAAGGGATGGCCTTTTGACCATGTTCGCCTTGCTCCGATCACTAGCCTCTTTTGTCTCTTCTCAAGGTGCGCCCGCTTCAGGTCTTCTTTTCTCTGTGGATAATACGTCCACAAATACCGACCGACGCAACCATCAAGTTTTTATAGCAGTCACTACTTCGGAAGCAAAGACTATGTCGGAGTCTCTAGCCATTGGTCAGCGTTTGGCTTCTCAAGCTGTAGGTATCTCAATCAAAAGACTCACATCGCATTTAAACGGAACAAATCACCTCTTTTCAACTCTCGTGGTGGACTACCCAATCAGAGAAGCTCCTGCCAGTCTTTCCAAGCTGTGAGCCAATAGCCGCGAGTGGGTTTCCATGCTCCCACTCTGTCAGGCGGCCGCGTCACCCCCGCTTTTGCTGCGTGCTTCCCAGAGAAGAAGAGGAGGGAGGCGAGGAGGAGCAGGAGCGCGGGGTGCGCGCACAGCGGCGGGGGGCCGCCCCGCGGAAGAAGCCGCTGAGCGAGAGGATCAAGGGGCCGTTCGAGAGGCTGGAGGAGAAGGTCGAGGAGGCAGTCAAGGCTCCCAAGAAGAAGCAGACACGCCGCAAGGTGAGGAAGCCGAGGGGAGAAAGGTTGACTGCAGCTTAAGCCATTTGGTGGCGTGCGGATAGAACTTGTCTTGATGATATCGAACGGCAAGTCAACTTGTGAGTTTGCGGTTCTTAGGTGTCTCTGTAAGAAACATCGACACGTGGCGGTATGCGGGCTCTGCATTTTCCACTGACTGATTTGGCCCTTTCTTAGGGTATCCGCTGGCCTCGCTCTGATTCGACGTTATGTCGTTTGATCGCGTGGCTTGGTGACAAGGTTTGATCAGTCATTGCCGTTTGAGATACCGTTTTGCAACAGTCCGCGACCTTGACTTGCCTTTGCTTTCGCTTTCATTGCTGATTGCTTGGTGCAACTCCCGTTTTGGACAGGAGGAACAGTACGAGGAGGAAGAGGAAGAGGAGGAGGAGGAGTACGAAGAGGAAGAAGAAGAAGAAGAGGAGTACGAGGAGGCGCCGGCGCCCAAGAAGAAGGTGACGCGCCCGCAGCGGGAGGAGGCGGCGCCCAAGAAGACGACGATGGGCCGCGCGCGGCGCGAGGAGGAGGAAGAAGCGGCGCCCCGCAAGAAGGCGCCGGCCAAGAAGAAGGCCGCGCGGCCCAGCAGGGAGGAGGAAGAAGAGGGAGAAGAGGAGGAGGAGCAAGAGAGGCAGGCGCCGGCGCGGGCGCGGGCGCCGCAGAAGGGGGCCCCGACGGCCCCGCGCGGCAAGGCGAAGCCCAAGGTGAAGCGCCGAATCATCGAAGAGGAGTACGAGGTCGAGGTGCCAGAGGAGGAAAGGGAGGAGGAAGGGGAGGAGGTCGAGGCGAAGCGGGGGGGCGCGAGAGGGGGTAGAGGGCGCCAGCGCCGGGGAGACAGGGGGTGTGCGTTCATGTGAGGGGGTGGGGAGTACCTGGAAGCTGGAGAAGAGGCGGTGCCTACTTCGAAGTGGTAAAGAAACACTGACGGGTAAAATAAGGGGACTCGTCTGAAGCAGGAGAGTCGCGCCTGCTGTGTGAGAGCATTGAGCACATGTGAATAGCCGCCAACCGCAGCTGTAGTTCTTTCGATAAGGAAGTAGTAGAGTCAAAAAGATTGCCTGCATTGAAATGCTTACGCTAACTTGTAAGCAGTTCGAACGTGGAAGGCTGCATTATGAAGGGGTGTGTCCGTCCGAAGAAAACACTTTTGGTAGAACATTGAACATGTAAGAGGCTTCGTAACCATGGTTTCGTCGTGAACAATCCTGGGTGCCGGTGAAATCGTAGGTCGTTGCGCCTTGAGCTCATGACCCTTCGTCATTCTTCATTTCCTGGCCAACGTGACTCGAAAAGCACGATAAGGGTTCTTTCTCGAGCCATTTGAGGAGGTGGCACAATGTGTGACAGATGCATTGGTCATATTGCCTTAGGCTGGATTCTTTCGCCACAAACCTTGACTCATGTCCTGCTTGCCACGGCACATCAGAACATCACATCGACGTGCCACATGAAATTTTCGTGACAATCTGTGAAGAATCTGCCTACTAGGATTCTCCGCATATGACATACTACAGTGCCACAGCAAGGAGTCTTCGACTAATGTTTAGCACAAGGGGTGACGTGTTATAACCACAATCAGATGGTAAAAACCTGCTTTTAGCTTATGCTGCAAGTTCTCTCAAAGAGATAAAGTGTTGCGAAGCAAGGGTCTCGCGCTCCACCCTAACACAACAATATCACTTCGTTGTCGTTAAAGCTGCAAATCTCGACGGGCTTGTTCCAACCTTTGATTCATTTCAGGACAAAGGCAGATGTGGGTGGCGCAGCTTGGCAGCTTGGTACATAACCACAATGGCGCGATAGAAGGCACACATATACATTCAGAACTTCATCTCATTGCAGGCTTACTGTGTTTTCAAAACGACGATCACCAGGAATTCTGGGTTCGAGAAGAGGGGCACTTGAAGTTACAATTACCTTGTTTTCTACTTCCTAATGCTTCCCCAATGGACATAACAATCGGGTAACAATCTGCATTTGCTCGTATAATGTGAACATGAGCTCAGCCATATATAACAATATTAAAAGCAAGGCAGACTAATAAGTGGGTAATACGACGTACAGCGCGGAACACCGCCGCCGGGAGGATACCTAGCAACAGAAGCAGAGAGGCGTTGAAGTTCCGCACCACCATGGCAAGCTACCTAGTAAGTTAGTAACATAGATAAAGTTAGTACGTAGATATCTACTGCATAGGTAGGACCTAGGTAACCGTCGGCAGTCCTGTGTTTGGCCGCAATCCAACCGGTGGCAGGCAACTTGCAGAATCTTCAATCAAGGGTCCCAGATGCGCCACCTCAAGCAAACAAGGGTTTAAGGGACATGTGTTGAGTTTATGTCCGTCGATGAATCGATGGACTTTACCTTTTGTGTCACGTGGTTTCAAAAAGTGCCAATCAGCGATGGACTCGTGAACTTCCGCCTAGAGCGCTGTGTGCATGCACACCACACCTCGATGATCTCATGCCCTGGAGCTCGTGAGAGACCGTTGTCAAGCTTTTTGGGGACGTCACTACACTATTATCTGCCTGCTATCTACGAACTAGATCTGGAAATTCACATGTTTTGCCTACATTCAGCATTAGGTGAGGAAGGGGCGGTGTGGGATCTGGGAGCTTAAGAGCTTGGCATTTGGAGCTCGACGGGCTCTTGCGTTCATGTTCCGTGGGCTCTGTTGGTTGTAACGAGGTTTGATGTAGGCTATCAAGTCACGACTTAAGTGACACAGGTGGTAAAGGGTGCGGGGTTGTAAGCGGTGGCCAAGATTTGAACATCTTTTAAACAAACACTGCGGCATTTGATGCAGAAGTAGGGAAATACAGGGCAAAGACCACAGATAGTTGCAAGAAAGGTTCAGTAAGATGGCGACCAAACCAGGTGTGCTGTCAGAATGGCCTTGGCAGAGGATGGGCAACTATAAGGTGAGTCTTCCGAACAATGGTTTGCTGCGCTCCCACATGGTCTTAGGGTCCGTGCTATCTCAAACCGATTGGTTGGTAAGGGGTTGTACTTGTTCTGTGGACCAGATCTGCAAGGATGCTGGGCTCTGTGTTCGAGATCTTGGATTCTGCATCTTGACATTATTGTGAAGAGAGATTTGTGAACCCATTTGTACTCCCTGAGCTGAAGCTGTTCATCATCCCTAAGTCTGCTGCCGGGTGCTTTAGAGCCTGCATTCACCGTGTTTGTTCCGTTTGGAGGGGCAGATTTATCTTCTGTGTGGCAGAGCTCACATTTGGAGCTGTCACCAAGCAAATGCCTCCGCTTAGAGCACTTATCTAGTGGACTCAATGTGGCTTGCCTGGTAACCATTGGGTGCTGCTTATTCTAGACAGCCTCTCAGTCACTTAAGGTCTGAGGTAGAGAAACCTTTTCGCAGACTGGTGCGTTGTTCTGGTTTTGTTTGGCTGCAAGATTTGCGACAGCTTTTCTTCTGCGCTAGCATGTAGACACTCGTTGTTGTTGAGCTGAGAGGCAGTGCTGCAGCAGCTCTGTAGCAGCGCGAGCATGCAGGTTCACTTTATGCTCTGCACTGTGAACCTGATTTGCGCAGACTCTGAAACAACCTCCAGTCACTCTTAGCTACTCCGGGGTTGAAAAAAAAAAGAGGCGCCACATTCTTGCCAGTTGCAGGAGTCTACCGTTAAGAACATTGTGACCCTTTGAAATCTGGTGTTGATTAGCTTCGAATCCATTCCTTTCACTCAGAGCAACAATTTGTCTTGTAAAAGGTTTCAGACACTCATTTATTGTCCACTATATTTTGGCCCACTCTCAGACAGGTCTGGATAAGCACACCTGCGTCTTTGGTTCACTGTATTGACCATCCCAAATAAATGGGCGCATCTGGATTTGCACCAAGCAGAGCCGGTCATACGTCAAAGGCGTTCATTGGTAGCTCGCAGGCAAAATTCAAACCTCGTCCAGCCAACGCACATCGATGAAGTTTGCACACCCAATTGCTCAGGATTGATACTTTCCTTCAGAGACCGCATCTAATGCAAGCAGGTCTGTATCTAAATCAGTGCGACAAGTGCTGCAGGGACCTTGGGGTCTTCAGTAGCTAGAATAAACAGTAAGATGACCGCTTCTTTTGGGTTGTTATCTCTTCAAGGCCCTAACTCTTTCAACCGAGTCTTATTGAACGTATCCTGACACCGGCCTTTCTGCTGCAGTATGTGCTTTACGCTCCATATGTGGCTGCGGCAGCTTACGAGTGGGGCTACCAGGGCAAAGCAAACGAGTTCATTGCTTACAACGCACACCTTGGGGTTATTGCCGCCCTTCGCTACGTGGTTATGCAGATCTGGACTTCCATAGCTCGCTTTCCCTGGCTTGTGGGGAAGTACCAGATATCATCAAAGGGGATAGATTTCAAGCAAGTTGATAGAGAGGACAGCTGGTAAGCACATAAGTACTTACTTTAGCACAGTCCCTGCCTTCTTGCTCTCCTAAGTAGGTGCTTCTAACTGCAGTTCTGATCTTGAAGAGTGGAAACGGGAGGCATCAAGCAGGCGGAAGTGGTGACATTTTGACAGCTTGTAAGTGGTTGGGAAAGGGCACAGTTACATTGTCCCAACGATCTGGCGTTCATAGCCTTTGTTCAACAAAAATGCAGACAGGTGTTTATCTAGCCACATGTGAATTCGTTCGAAGGGAAGCATTAAAGATGCGCACTTGTTATTAAGATCTTGAGCATCTTTGCGCACCATCGTACCTGTCCCCAGTTTGATATTGGCTTGCAATCACTAATGCATGTCAGGAGATGCTGAACTTTTCCCTTGAGACTTTGATCCAAATGGACGCAGCGGGCAAACATTGCCGCTTGCGAGGCGCTACGTAACCACACACGCTGGGGTGGAGGCAGGCGCACACATTGCCACTCAAGAGTCTGGTCATGCTGCACTCCGAACCCCTCCTGAAGAACACTCACAACATCTGGTGTGCGCGCAGGGACGACTTCATCTTGTTCAACAGCCTGGGGCTGACCCTGCTGGGCCTGGTGCTGCCCGGGTGGCAGACGCTGCCGCTGGTGAACGGGCACGGCCTGGTGGTGATGCTACTGCTGCACGCCAGTGTGGCGGAGTGGCTCTACTACTGGTTCCACCGCGCGCTGCACCACCACTGGCTCTACACGCGCTACCACTCGCACCACCACCAGTCCTTTGTCACCGAGCCCATCACAGGTGCGCAGGGCTTTCACAACGTCAGATGTGCAAGGCAGGCCGGCATGCTAGATACAGAACCTCAGGCGCGTTGTCAGTGACGGGATGTGCTTGATGTATGTTTCTATCTGCAAACCCTTGGCAAACTCCAGTCAGCACTCTCGTCGCTCAGTCTGTTTGGTGCCCTGATATCTCCGGATTTGGAAAGAGCGTCTTAGTAGAAACTGGCGAAAGCCTACCTTTTGTCTTGGTGGAAAGATGCAGGAGTTCTCTGCTTTGCTATTTCGTCCACGTCACAATGCTGCGTGACGGTGATACAATAAGAGGCTGCAAGAGCCTGTTTTGGCTGCCAACTCACAGTGGTCCCCCGCTGGCGTGCAGGGTCGGTGCACCCCTTTCTGGAGCACGTGGGGTATATTGCCATTTTTGCGCTGCCAGGCGTGCTGACTTATGTGGGGGGTCAAGGGTCGATTGCCATGATCTATGCGTACCTGCTCACATTCGACTTCCTCAACGGCCTGGGCCACTGCAACTTCGAGTTCATCCCCACCTGGTTCTTCAAGGCCTTCCCCCCCCTCAAGTACCTCATTTACACCCCCTCGTAAGTGCTCCGCAAATTCGACATCAGTTCCTTCTCGACCAGCCACAGCATTGCGAATCTCCGCACCTGAAGGTCCCTCCCCTGGAATAGCAGAAGAATCCTAAGAGGGCGTTGCAGGACAGGTTCTACCTCAGGCGACCAATTTGACACCCATTAGGGGCAGCTTGGGTGCCAAAGGGGTTTCTCGAGATGGAATCTTGAGCCGTCGATGGCTTTTCGCCTCAGCACTCAGATGCGCGAATGTACGCTGAAATCCGACCCCCTTTTTAATGGCGGATAGTGATTTGGGATCAGTGCAGCCAAAATCAGTGTCATCAAGCTTGGAATGGCTGCTCGTTGGAAAGGCATTGAAGATGCACCGTTGCTTTGCAGGTACCACTCTCTGCACCACACGCGCGTCCACACAAACTTCTCGCTCTTCATGCCGCTGTATGACTACCTATATGGCACAGTCGACAATGACAGCGACACGCTCTACGAGCAGACCATAAAAGGTAAGGGGGAACAAGATTGCCAACATACTCAGGAATGAGCTTGTCTGCATGCGTGAAGACAGTGACGACCATATGCAGTGCTTTGTGATTGACATCCTGTCTTCTACATTGTCAACTCAAAAGGAAAGGCAATTCTGTGGCAGATTACGGAGCACTGGCCCCTCATTTTGAACACTGATACTTGTCGGACATTCCCTGAACGAGAGTCGGCCGTGGCAATCAGCAACAGTGGGTGGTCCAATCTGATGATCTAAGTGACTCAGATCGTTCAAGGAGTGAACTATAAACTAGCACAGAATCCTAGGGCTTGTTCCACTCACTCTTCTCTGCCACCCTTCTGTCTCCTAAGCTGACGCCCGTCCTTTTCGCTGGCAGGAGTCCACCCCGGCCCGGACGCCATCTTTTTGGCCCACGGCATGGACGTCGGCTCGTTTGTGCACGGCTGCTTTGGCATTCGCGGGCTGGCCTCCCACCCGTACTATCCTTCGTGGGTGGTGTACCCGCTGCTCCCGCTGGCCACCCTGCTCACCATCTTCTGCTGGCTCATTGACGCCAAGCCCTGGGCCGTGGATCGCCGCTCCCTGCGCGGAAACAAGATCGAGCTCTGGACCGTGCCCCGGATGGGCCTCCAGGTAAGCGCAGCCTTGTGCACGGGAAAGCAAGCGGAATGACGGGCCTTTCCAGGTTATGTTCCCCAAAGCTTCGAGGTTGATTCCTTTGGCGTGCGACTTTTCGCATATTATGGCAAACAAAACCCATTCCTGTGTCGCCTTCCATTGAAACTTGTACGGGATCGATGAGATGTCCTTAAAAGAAGACGGCTTCTTCAACCTCATTCGTTAGGTAGGTGTTTTGTGGTCTTGACTGGCAGGATCGACTTATCGTATTGACGCTTCTCGCCCGCACGTCTCTGCAGTACTTCTTCCCCTCTGAGAGGCCCAAGATCAACCGCCTGATCCTTCAGACGCTCAAGAAGTGCGACGCGAACGGTGTGAAAGTCTTTGGACTGGGCGCACTGAACAAGGTGGGCCCTTACCCCCATTCTCGTCCGCCAGCTATGTCGATCGGCCTACGTCTGACAGAATCCCGCTTACCCGTATGCACCAAGCGTGCCTGCGAGCGGCCGCTTTTCATGGCAATCGTGCACGTTTCTATCGCCTGTAGAAAGCACACCTTCTGACGTCAGCAGTTGCGTTTCGTGGTTGCAGAGCGAGGCGCTGAACCAGGGGGGCGAGATCTACCGGAAGGACATCGAGGGGCTGCGCATGCGCGTGGTGCACGGCAACACGCTGACCGCGGCCTCCATCCTGCACCGGCTGCCGCAGGACTGCGACGAGATCTTCTTGACGGGGGGCACCTCCAAGCTGGGTCGGGCGCTCGCCCTCTACCTCGTGCGGAAGGGGGTCCGCGTGCTGGTCAGTGCCAGGCTCGTTTTAGGGATTCACTATCATATTGCTGCAGATGGACTCAGTGCAACTGGTATCTCTCTTATGGATGCCAGCAAAAGAAGCCATGTCTGCCACGATTGTGCCCGGAAGGACCAAGAGAATGCACCCTGCATCTCAGCTAGTAAAGTGACGTGCGATCCCGGTCACATGCGTAGCTGATGTTCGTGTGTGTGTGCAGCTGCACACGAAGTCTCAGGAGCGGTTCCAGGCCATTGTCGACGAGGCCGCGCCCGAGCATCGAAAATACTTGGTCTGGTCTCCCAACTTAACGGATGGCAGCCACTGCAAGGTCAGCCCTGATTCTTGTCCTCACAGTGCCATGATGGACGCGGCACAGTCCATATGCAGATTTCCACGGTGTGTTTCTGGGGTTGTTGGCCTAAGAATGAGGACTCGACGAATGAAGTCCCTCTAGTCTCCCTTCAAAGCCCCGCCCTGCATGACGAGCAGCCCGAAACCGTTGGTTTTTATGTTTTCAATTTCGTTGGTGCAGAACTGGGTGGTTGGGCGGTGGCACTCGCGCAAGGAGCAGGCGTTCGCCCCGGCTGGGACGCACTTCCACCAGTTCGTGGTCCCGCTCATGACGCCCGCCAGGAAGGACTGCACCTACAGCAAGCAAATATGCATGCGGATGCCCAAGGTGCGCACCCTTACCCAAGCCGCCCGATACGGCCCGCTGGAAGTCCAACACTGCCTCCTGCCTGCTCTTGTATCCGTTGCGTTTGAAGTCTTTCTTATCGAGGCAAGGAAATCGTCAATGAGCACTTGGCGACAGAGCCAGTCGCACGTGCCAATGGTGAAGATTGAAGGACATCAATCACTTGAGGAAGCAACAGAAGCGTAGTGCTCCGAGGAAACGGTGATAAATCTGCGTAGTGCTCATTCGTCAAATGCTTACGAGGTCCATCACCTTGGCTGCAGGATACCCAGGGTCTGGGTCACTGCGAGTTGAACTTACAGAGGAATACCGTGCACGCGTGCCATGCTGCCGTCATCGTGCACTTATTAGAAGGGTGGGACTTCCACGAGGTGAGCCAGCCGCGCAAAACAATAAGAGTACTAGGTGCTTGCCTTTCCTGGGCTTTTCGTACTCGTGGTCTTTGAATGGATATTCTCCTGTAGACCTGGAGCGAGCAAGAATATGTCGATCCGTTGTCATCCATCTGACCCGACCCTGTTTCTGTCGATGCAGTTGGGCTCTATTAACGTAGATCGCATTGACGAAAATTGGGAGGCCGCTTTGAAGCACGGATTTGAGCCCGTTTCTTGAGCGCAGACAGCCCCTCCGCTGGCAAATGTGGTCAAACAGGGTTGATAGTTGTATTCTCAGCGAGGTGATGCGTCCGTGTTGCAAGAGTAGGGTTCATGTGCAGTAGCCGCCAGCGGACCGTAGGAAGGCACCTTCCTGCTTTTGTAGCTCCAGCGCAGCTACGTGCAAGGTGTGAAGGCCGCCCGCGAGGTGGCAACTCCCAAGGAGCATCCAGCTCGAAATTTTGGAGACTGTCTGCACTTCCGGCAAGGGCCTGAGGTAGCAGCGTTTGGTAAAATTGAGTGACTTCCAATAAGGCCCTCTCGAAGAAACGCTTTACAACTGGTTTCGCATTTGACGACCGTACCTGCCCAAATCGCAGGGCGAGGCAGTTGCATTTTTACCAGACTGTTGACCAGACTGTCAATGTGCACGGCCGAGTATATTTCTTAGTCATGGCATGCCCAGGCTTGGCAGGCAATGTACAGTGCGCTAGCATTCGGCAGACATACGTGCACATGATCAAACCCATGGTGCAGGTTCATGTTAAGTTCGCAACCATGTGCACACATGTACTTCGCAATATGTATAATAACTACAGTTAACGCACATCTCGTAAGTTACCATCTCTTGCATACTACAATAGAGCGCTCAAATGATTCGGCCTGATCCCTATGAAGAAACTTGCCGGCCATGTGTGACAAACTTCAACTGGCGGCTGCAAGGTAGCCGATCGTGCGCCAACAGCGCTGTGGCAAGGGCACCGTAAGGTTCGCACATGTCGGACGGTGGAAAGCTTGTTATATTGCATCGGCAACGGCTCAGTAAAGCTCAGTCCAAAAGAGAAGCTCTTCACTGATGTTATAACTATTCACTTCCAGCTCCTGGCCCGCGGCGCCCTAAAGCGGTTTGTCAAGAGCAAGTGTTAAGCGCCCACTTTCTGGTGGACACAAGCGATTTAGTATTCCAACAAGTCCTTAATACATCAACCATCGGCGTTTTATGAGTTTTAGGCCACACGCTACACAACGTAAACCTTAATTCTTCCTGCTAGAGGACCGTGACGATCTTGATTGAAGCAGGTCACGGTGACACAACGGCAGCGACCTCGTGCTATGATAAGAAGCAAGAGTTTGTAGCCGCCCGCTAGCGACCTCGTGCTATGATAAGAAGCAAGAGTTTGTAGCCGCCCGCTAGTATGGTACAAATCTCAAAGCTACACAGAACAATATTTAGCAAGGTTCTTATACATATAGGTACTTGACTGCTGTTACGGGGTTCACTTCAAACTTGATTGTACAGGAATATGTTCACCTAGCTTATGCCATGCCTTGATGAAGTAGAGGCATTTTCCTAGTTGGCGTGACACGCACCTGCGCAAAGAGTAGAGATCATCCTTTTCCAATGTTCATTGAATTGCGAGCGTCAACCTCAGCCGCATCCAACAAAGGCACGGCGCAGGACATTGTAGAGCAGATCTACAGTGCTCGTTCACTACGAAGCAAAACCTCGTTTTTGTCGGTGGCATTTCGACCAACTTTGCGAACACCTAGGATCATGAAAGGTCTGAGAAGCATCAGCTCAAGCACAGCCCGCCTGTCTCTACCGTGAAGAGGATCTATCTGGCAGATAGAATCCAAACGTAATCATCTGAACCACAAAACTAAGAGGACTGCCACGACGGCCCTATTCTCCTTCGGCTTGAATTTTGCACGTGAGCCTCAAGCGAATCATGCGATGTTGGTCCGTCCGAGCAGTCAGGTAAAATCCATTCATGACTTCGATGATCACTTTTCAAGAGCCAGGGCGCCCAGCTAACCTCTCTCGGCCGCTGCCCCGCTACTCTTGCGGGCCCATCATGGCGGCCATGCGCTTCTTGAGCTCCTCGGGCGGGACGTCCTCCACATGCGTCGATATGGTCCATTTGTGCCCGAACGGGTCCACCACCGTCCCCGAGCGGTCCCCGTAAAAGTGCGTCTGCACGGGGGCCTGTACCGTGGCCCCCTCCTTGACCGCGCGCTCAAACGCCGCCTCCGAGTCGTCCACGTACAGCATGAGGCCCACGGGACTGCCCCCCAGGCTGGCGGGCGACTTGTGGCCGCGCTCGGGGACCTCGTCGGCCAGCATGAACGGGCTGTCGCCGATGCGCATCTCGGCGTGCATGATGGTCCCGCCGGGCCCGTCCATCTTGACAGTCTCGACGGCGCCGAAGGCCCGCGCGTAGAAACCCATGGCTTGGGTGGCACCCTTGACGACCAGGTAAGGGGTGATCTGCAAGCAAGGGAGGCCATAGGGTCAACTGAATTTGAGATGATAGGTCTGTCAAAACACTAAAGGATGCTAGCAGCAAGCACCTAGATGGACTTAAGTTTCAGTTGAGATGGAGGCGACTGCGAAGGTTTTGAAACATTACAACTTCTCGGACGAAACGAGATCGAAGATGGAAAAAGCAGGGGGAGCTGATATAAGAATCGTTGCTTCGGAAGAAAAGTTGGAAGCAAGAAAGGATGCTTGGTGTGCAAGTGCAGCTACAGATGAAAATGATGAGATTTGAAAGAAACAACCAGATCACAACAAACTTCGAGAATGAAAAGAATCTTCGGAAGGACTGACTTGATTGGCTGCCAGACTTGGTAATTCAAGACAATATTCTGTGGGAGCTGATTTCAAGGCTATAGTAAAGTGCGGACACGAGAAGACAAACATAGGGATGTTCTGTGTTTGGAAGACAAAACGTGGGGGTCATCGAGACTTGACAGTTTCAAAATCAGGACGAAGCTGCAAGTTTCAAAGTCGCATCAACCTTTGGTCCACAGACAACTGGGCACAAGTTTTCTCAAACCGGAGTAGAAGATGTCTTGCTTCTACCCAGTGAGCAATCGAGCATCAACTGCCCCCCTGGCTGACAAGGCCGTTCAAGATGATGCTTTGAGGCGTGTCATCAGATTCCTTGTAAGTGGGCTCAACTTCGTAAACAGATAATCAGTGCATTTGCAGCTTGCACACGACGATCGGCGTTGAGCTTCATGCCTAGCTGTAGACTCCAGTGCAGCTGCCACGACCAACGAACTTGATCTCTTGCCAGTTCTAATCAAGCCTGTAGCTAGGCTCAGAACAGCACAGCCACAGCACAGCATTGGACGGATGCATTGGACAATTTGATATGTAGAAGCTGGCGAAACCAGTCAAATGAGGGAGTCACATGAACTCACCGTATGAAACCCCTTAGGACGTGTCTCGACGGCACTGGCCATGTTGTGTCCTTCAGGTCCTTGAAGAAGCACAATGAAGCTTGATTGGATAAAATGTTGAGCTTGGCAGCTAGCTGCGGGCCTAAAGTTGAAGAAAGGCGCAAGTGATTACTGGTGATTGTACGCGGCAGAACTGGAACAAGTGCGTCAATCACTTTTGCGTCGCCTTTTGAACCTCAGGCTCCAGCTTCATGGAGCTGTCTTGGCAATGTCTGCAGGGCCGCATTCACAGCCATGCCCGCCAGCGGGAATCCAACTTCTGTGCCAAGTCACAGCTGACGTCCGGCTACAATAAATCGAAATTACTCAGCGCCCAGCGCCCAGACCACGATGCCAGGTGTCGTGATACGAACTGTGCTTTTGTGGACACGTAGGACTTCTAACACTTATGACCAGGCAACTCTCCGCCACTCACATCGCCGATAAGACTTCAATTTAGGTAAAGTAAGCTTTAGGTAAAGTAAAGCCAAGCAGCCTGGGACGGGTGGGGTTAGTTCGGGGGTTAGGGTGGGTTCGGGTGCGGAGCGGGTGATTTTGAGGGTTAGGTTTTTCGTGTTAGGCTGGGAGCTTACTTTACCTGGAGCTTACTTTACCTAAATTGAAGAGACATACATCGCCGGCAGTTGGAAGCTTGAAAAACGGTCAT